TAGCACCCGTCACAAACACATGCAAAGCTTATTTTAATGTTTGATCGGGATAATGTTAAAGTGTGTTATACAACGTTAAACCTTCCGTGCGAATTTCTATTCCGGGCAGGGCGGTGGGGGAAGCCTAGTGGTTAAAGCGTTCGCTCGTCACGCCGAAGACCCGGGTTCGATTCCCCACATGAGAACAATGGATGCAGCCCATTTCTGGTGTCCCGTCGACGTGTTATTGCTTGATAATTGCGAAAGCGGCGTAAAATACAATTCACTCACCATTCCTGACATGGGCTCCTACCTCTCAAGCTGACATACCGTGACATAACTGAGATACTGTTCAAAGCGACGTTAAACCCAACTCACTCACTCACTCACTTATTCCGGCCGTTTACCTCTCTTCACATATTGTCAAGGCCGCGTCTGCGTACACCGTCATGCTAGGCGGCGCGTGCAGTAGAAACACGGTGTATACAATTTCAAGGCGTGTCCCCTATCATGCAGTCCTACATTTTCAGTTAATAGACACACTTCACAAAGTGTTAAGTGGATCTGAAATATCGATGGCTAGCTGTGTGATCCATTGATGTCCACAGAACTTGTAACGCTATACCTATGTTGGACATATTCCACATGTTACGTGAAGCCCTCTCTTCTGTACATATTCGTCGACCGGAACCCAACATATGGACATATGTGTGATTTATGAGAGATATTCGTGACAGATTATCATAAGCATCAATGCAACAAACAAATGTATAAATCAATATCCACAAGCCCCTGAAGTGGATGGAAATGACAAAGTATTTTGAATACGTAATACCATTTGGGGACAATGAACCATTCATATTGATAGTTTTTAAAGCATCAAACGATCAGTTATTATTTATTCTTGTGGTTTTTTCCCATGTACACCTGGTGCAGCGTGTTGTTTCCAGTCACTGTAACACAGCTAAAGCTGTCCAAAAAGTGAATTACAGTAACTACGTCTATAACGAACACGCTTAAAACGAACTGACGGATATAACGAACTTACTTTTTTGTCCCGACTAGCTGCTGTATTATGCTGTATATATGCTTATAACGAACTACGGTTATAAAGAACTAAAATTAGTGGTCGCTTTGAGTTCGTTATAACCGTAGTTTACTGTATTTACAGTGTTCACATTCTTTATGCATATGAATCCGTATTTCTGCTCGGATTGGCAAAGACAATACAGGGTAGTTTGGCCAAGAAGTTTAATAACCATCAGATAGCCAATTCCCTCCACCGATTTTCCCCCCTGAACTACAGATAAGGGAGACCAGTGAGGCCGCCTCGTCTGTTTCACATTCAGATCCATGCATAAAGAGTCAGAGTGACACAACATACTCCCCACAAGACCGTATGACAAGGGGGATGACTTCAACTTTCCGGCAGTCAACCATCCCTTTATGTCCAGCATTATTCCTGCAGCTCCAGCCAATGGTGTCTACATTTCACAACGATTCAGGTACCATATAAGTTGTAGCAGTATCACCAGGGATACATGTGTTTTTATGCGTTCCGCGTTTGGTTGTATACCACAAGCCACAGGCCAGAGGCGTCAAGCGTTTGGCTTTAAACCATGAGCCGGAGGCAAGCGGTGTAAAAATCTAACGAGGGACGCATAAAACTACATATACTCCGACTAATAATGCTACAACTTATTTATCTTGCTGACATGTTTTAATCTGCCATTGAAAAAGCATTTAAACAAATTCAAATTTGATAGAAAACAGCTTTTCGATTGAGCTATGGTTAACTTGTGCTATGCCACGTGACTTCCATTGGGTGCGGCTTTTTGCTTCGAGCGGGTTGTAAGGCATTTATTCTTCCGTTCAGCACTCCACGTGCAACCTGTCTTCTTCGTGGCGGGGTATTCGGGATTTATTCTCCCGCACAAAAATTCATTCTCCTCCCAGGCAGGATACATATTATTTAATCAAGATCAGCTGAACCAATCAAGTCTCATCATTCTGACATGGAGGTACGATAATCGCTCATGCCCTTTCTACGAAGCTTTCAAAGAGCGTCATACGACTCTTGATCAAGCGTTGTTCGATCAAGGCTACGCCATTCAAGGCTTTAGTAAAGCTTACATTTTCAAATTTGACGCATCAGTGACAAAATGATGTCCGATGCAATTCCCTATTTTGACTTGTACCATATGTTCCCATGATGTTTCAGGAGAACAATTGACTTGCCTTTGCATGTGTTTGTTACGGGTACCACCGGTAGGGCAGGATTTGCCAATTATTGAACGATTTTAGAAGCTTAAGTTAAACTTCTTGGCCAAACTGTCTTGTTTTGATTTTGCCAAACCAAGCAAAAATTCAGATTCAAATCCCTTACGAAACAGATCAGCGAAAAAACTGTGCCCGTGGAATTCTCTTCTTGTTTAATCGTTATATTTTAAACTGGGTCTCATCACTCGATTACGTCAATACGTCCCCATGTTCAGGTGAACAGTTGACCTGTCTTTGCATGTGTCTGTGATGGGTGTCACCGGTTGGGAAGGATACGCTCACGTTTTCGCGAACACCTAGAATCATCACTATTTGATGGTGATTCATACAAATATTTTCATGATATGGTCGGAATCGTACAATCGACTCTGCTTTAAGTAGGGATTTCTATTGAATATGGCAAGGGTTTTGTGGCTTTTATTTCAAAAGGTTTTATGGTAGACATGTGGAGGACATTTATAAATTTGCCGCATCAATGACAAAAATTATGTCTAATTCTATTCCCTATTAATATATTTAGTCTGTCAAATTTAAAGTTAGTGTCATATTTGGTAGTCTGTCAACATTAAAACGAGACAACATTCTACAGACATTTCGTCACATGGATTGTACTGATCTATAACCCCGTGCACGTAAGAACTTTCAAGTTCAATGTCATCCACGTGGATGACGTCAGTCATATTTTAAAATCATCTTTGAAAATATTAACGGGGCTTGAAGCGTCATATTGTGATGAATATGAAGATAGATGTCGGTTTTAGAAGGTCAATGCCAACATTATAGAGCAACTGAGTGGGCAGCGCCTGTCATAAGAACTGATGGAATTGGTTACCTCACATCTCCGAGAAACAGACGTCTCCACGCATTCAATGCCAAGAGTCTAAGCATAATTTGAAGCACCATAGAATAATCATTGCAGTAATTAGTAGCCATGATAAATAAAACATGTTGATATTGAACACAGTTAGTTCGGATTGCATCGTGGGATTAGATTAGTGGAGAACGGGTTTACAGAAACACGAGGTCGTTCCGGATATGTTGATCATGATTGTACGAGCTGTACGAGTATGTCAACTGATGAAAATCAAAGCAGTATAAATATGCCCACATCTATGGCCGGCCATCAGAAGACTTCGCTGTACGAGTCCGACTGTATGACGCGCAGGTGTTCATGAATTACTATCAAATAGAGATGATACCAGGTACCTAAGAACCTTAGGTAAATGTGGGTGTGGTGGGTGAGGTGGGTTGTGGGGTGTGTGTGGGTTGGTGGATGGGTGTGTGTGTGTGTGTGTGTGTGGGGGGGGGGGGGGGGGGGGGGGGGGAGGCGACAGTGTCCTTTCTGGTATTCCATATATAACAGACTTACAATGTCCTTGTGTACACTCCAACCCACATAGTCTATGCGCTACACTAATAAATTATATCGTACACTCAAGTTCAAGGTTTGGGTATCAGTCGATGACTGGGGGCAGCCAAAGAATCTGGAGGTTGGGAGGCTAGCTCGTGTGCGATAGAACGTGAGGTATACTATGGCAAATATATTTATACCAATGTCACCAGAGAGAGATTTTTAAGATACTGCATATATGAGACGGGCAAACAAAAGCTCAATTTGCAGTTCAGCACACTGTAGACATTTCGCAAGTTAATTCTTTGCCCTTTGGGGGCAATTAGCTTTGACGGTAAATGTTATTTAAGAAACAAACGACGAATGGGAGTTTTTGTATGATACACAACGACCACGAGTCGTTTATTTCTTATATGAGATATCAATAATTTACATTATATACATCAATGGATGTTGATCGAATGTACAAGCTTTAAAAATAGTCATCCAAATTTTAATAATGATGACTCCCCGAATAGAACCCGACCGCAGAAATGTCGGAGAAGTCCATTTTATTAACAAGGGGTTTAAATTTGTTTTTTCTCTCAAGTTTTTCACGTCGATTTCTGTACCTTTTCTCCCAGTACCGGTTATCAGATCTCTCCCAGCTACATTTATGGGGTGCAACTCACACGACTCTTCCCTATAGAAAATAACGTCGTCCAATTTACGACGTCATCAAGTTCGACGTTCGAATATCAAGAAATGACGTTATGACAGAACATGTTCCTTGCGATTTATCGCGTAGCTATCTTATATATGCGTATAACAAAAGTTCAATACCCAAAAGCATGTGAAGTATACTATTCTCGTTGGTAGTTGCCTAATATTGGTTCGGGGACACGGGTGGCCCAGACAGTACGCAGAGTTGTTTCCCTTGGGACGTCAAAAACCGATGATTCTGGGTTCATATCCCAGTTCGCCCCTATTATGTTCCTAGGTTTGTCAGCACCATATCAAAATGGGAAAAACGTCTAAGACTTGTATCATTTTGAGCTTTCGTCCCACATTAAGCTGACACGTCGTGTTATAAGTGGAACTCAATATCAGCTAACTATGACACCGCCCTAAGACCACTCCCACAGCGGCCGTGCAACTGAAGCAGATCCTTCTTAGTGATGCAATCCCTTCTCCTCAACGTCATCAGTGTCATAATAGTCCTCCCTGGCTGTTGCATAAGTGATCACGAGGATTGAGCCATGCGAACAGAGACAGGTGATCCAACGAAATCACACAACTCCCATGTTCATCGACCGAACTTTCACCGTCAGTGTCACGTGGTAACATCATTACCATAATTCGAGCAGATATTTCTACCATACCACAGTATAAACGACACACGCGGTCATGGTCAACATACACAAATATAGTTTATTACCATCCATATGCGTTACGAAACAGGGGGAAAACATATCCTTGTATCTACCACATTCATTTGACATGATATATATTCATCAAGTTTGACTTTATACGTATATATATACGTATATAAAGTAGCACTTCATAGGTTATTCTGATGCAGTATTTACTAAAGAGATGTGCCATGTTTAAGACGCTCCCTTAGTTGTGGAGAAATTTGAGGTTACATATTATCATATACTTGTCGGTCACTGAATGCAATCGTGACAAGTAGCATCAGAAATATCAACCATACAAGATATCATTCAAAATAAACTGTTATAAAACAATGTATCATACCAAACATCCAATTATGAAACATTGTTATCATATAGACCAAGACATTCAAGCCAAAGAGAAATATATCACATATCCCAGAAGTCATCTTTCTCGACTTCCGGTAGTTTCTCCTCCGATGAGAATGGGGCGTCACTATCCTTGAATAATGGCCCCTCGACCGCGCCCAGTTCCTCCATCCAGCGCTCGAACGACGTCACGGAGCCGCCCCTGCCGTGCCCCTCGGGGCTGCTGCTTGTGCGAGAACTCACCGGAGTGTTGGGGCGCCTCTTCCTGGCGTCATCGGTGTAATCCTCTGTCATAGAACAAGCAGATAATGTTTTGCGTTGAAAGAGTGCCTGCAATCTATTGGACCCCATTGTTAACCAATGATCATTTACCGCCAGCCAAAAGAAGGTTTAAACACCACTAAAAATGAAACAAACAAGAGAATGGTTATTCGAAGGTGATTTTTTTTTATACGGGTCTCAAAGGTGTATTTTTGTTATTGTTAGGTTTGCATTGTTCCTGGTCAGGAAACAGTGGAGCGTGAGTCACTTGTGTGGCCGACCACAAGAGGACATAGGGCCGTGTAGCCGACCACGGGAGGACATGGGGCCGTGTAGCCGACCACGGGAGGACATAGGGCCGTGTGGCCGAGGACGGGAGGACAAAGGGCCATGTGGCCGAGGACGGGAGGACATAAGGTCGTGTAGCCGACCACGGGAAGACATAGGGCCGTGTGGCCGAGGACGGGAGGACATAGGGCAGTGTAGCCGACCACGGGAGGACATAGGGCCGTGTGGCCGAGGACGGGAGGACATAGGGCCGTGTGACCGAGGACGGGAGGACATAAGGTCGTGTAGCCGACCACGGGAGGACATAGGGCAGTGTAACCGAGGACGGGAGGACATAGGGCCGTGTGGCCGAGGACGGGAGGACATAAGGTCGTGTAGCCGACCACGGGAGGACATAGGGCAGTGTAGCCGACCACGGGAGGACATAAGGTCGTGTAGCCGACCACGGGAGGACATAGGGCCGTGTGGCCGACCACGGGAGGACATAAGGTCGTGTAGCCGACCACGGGAAGACATAGGGCCGTGTGGCCGAGGACGGGAGGACATAGGGCAGTGTAGCCGACCACGGGAGGAAATAGGGCCGTGTAGCCGAGGACGGGAGGACATAGGTCGTGTAGCCGACCACGGGGGGACATAGGGCCGTGTGGCCGAGGACGGGAGGACATAGGGCCGTGTAGCCGACCACGGGAGGACATAGGGCCGTGTAGCCGACCACGGGAAGACATAGGGCCGTGTGGCCGAGGACGGGAGGACATAGGGCAGTGTAGCCGACCACGGGAGGACATAGGGTCGTGTAGCCGACCACGGGAGGACATAGGGTCGTGTAGCCGACCACGGGGGGACATAGGGCCGTGTAACCGAGGACGGGAGGACATAGGGCCGTGTGGCCGAGGACGGGAGGACATAGGGCCGTGTGGCCGAGGACGGGAGGACATAAGGTCGTGTAGCCGAGGACGGGAGGACATAGGGCCGTGTGGCCGAGGACGGGAGGACATAGGGCCGTGTAGCCGACCACGGGAAGACATAGGGCAGTGTAACCGAGGACGGGAGGACATAGGGCCGTGTGGCCGAGGACGGGAGGACATAAGGTCGTGTAGCCGAGGACGGGAGGACATAGGGCCGTGTGGCCGAGGACGGGAGGACATAGGGCCGTGTAGCCGACCACGGGAGGACATAGGGCCATGTGGCCGAGGACGGGAGGACATAAGGTCGTGTAGCCGACCACGGGAAGACATAGGGCCGTGTAGCCGACCACGGGAGGACATAGGGCCGTGTAGCCGACCACGGGAGGAAATAGGGCCGTGTAGCCGAGGACGGGATGACCTACGGTCGTGTAGCCGACCACGGGAGGACATAGGTCGTGTAGCCGAGGACGGGAGGACATACGGTCGTGTAGCCGACCACGGGAGGATATAGGGCCGTGTAGCCGACCACGGGAGGACAAAGGGCCGTGTAGCCGACCACGGGAAGACATAGGGCCGTGTAGCCGACCACGGGAGGACAAAGGGCCGTGTAGCCGACCACGGGAAGACATAGGGTCGTGTAGCCGACCACGGGAGGACAAAGGGCCGTGTAGCCGACCACGGGAGGACAAAGGGCCGTGTAGCCGAGGACGGGAGGACATGGAGCAGGGAGGACTGACAACACGGCATCGTGTTCCAAATGAAGACAAGAAGGCTCTGCATATGCTCGACCGCCTCCGTGGTCTAGCGGTAGAGCGTCCGCCCGGAGAGCGAAAGGTCCGGGGTTCGATCCCCGGTCGCGGCATACCAAAAGACGTTACTCTGTCTGACGCTCGGCATTAAAGGGGCTAAAACAAGGACTGGTCGGATCGGCGTCAGTATCCTGTGTCTTTGTGGGGTATTAATGTTAAACTGCGGCTGGGATCTAAGTAGGCTAGCACTATAAAATCGGCATTAGCCCGATTAAGTTTCTAGGTTTGTCAGCACCATACCCGTGCTCCTGGGTTTCATCGAAGTGGTAAATCTCTGAGACCTGCATCACTTCGGGTTTTCCTCCCACATTAAGCTGACACGCCGCGATATAACTGTAATACTGTAAAAAGCGGCGTTAAACACAACTCACTCACTCACTCACTCCCTCATATAATGTTCATCCTACGTTTGCCTTTTACGCCCAACGGATTCTGTTTCGGAGGTTAATCGAAATATTGACGTTTGTTTATTCTATGGCATTGACGGTTTATATAATACTTCCGCATTACCCAGTCCCGACAATCAAGTGATTGACATCGTGAGCATCGATCTACGCATTTAGGAAACGATGACATGCATCAACCAAAACCAGAGAGCCTGACCACCCCATCCCGTTTGTCGCCTCTTACCACAAGCATGGTCGCTCTTTACGGCAAGCATGGGTTGCTGAAGACCTATTCTACCCTGAACCTTCACGGGCCTGTTAAGACCTATTCAAGACGGGTCTTGAGGCTAAATGTTTGAAAAAGACGCTGGCCTACATTTTCTCTTCTTCTCGTTTGTGTTCGATTTTGGAAACTGCGTTCGATTCCAAGGTCGTTTGAACCTTCCGATCAATCTCCAATTATTTCAGTTAATCGGGGACTATCCACTATTCGGGGATCGGCGGATGATGAAGACCAATTCTTACCCCTATCTTCACGGAGATGGGGTCGACATAAACCATGTATCAATCGAAGGCGGAACAAAGATAGGATAAATATAGAGCCTCACCGGGGCTTGCATTGAAGAGCCACTGCGCCTGCCTGGAGTGACGAGTTCCTACCATGGGCGATCCTTTCACCTCCAGACGATACCCGTCGTCGTTGTCGCTAGACTTGGAGGCGTTGCTGCTGCAGAAGGAACAGTTGGACCCAGAAATAGGCTTCTTTTGACCTAGGAGTCTGGAGTTGGTTTGGCTAATCTTGATTTCCATTGAAGACGTCTGGCTTTTGTTTGAGGCTGTAGCTGGTGAAGAGCTCCCGGAGCTGATGGAGGACGATTTACTGGACTCAGAAGGCTCTGCTGTTGGGAGCTTTAACTGTAGATAGGACGTAGCAGGAGCCATTCCCATAATTCCTGGCTTGGTAATAAACCTCGTCATCGGGCCATTTTCTTCAAAAGACTGCTGTATTTTGTGATTCACATATGACGTCTGCCTCTCTATTGGCTGCTCGACACCGGATGTCGGCTGCTGCTTTGTGTCACGTGACACTGTCCTGAGCAGATTTTCCCATTCGTCATTGTTCCCCGTGAGGTCGGACTCCTCGTCAGAACACTCGGGGTCACCTATGGAGGAAAGATCGGTGAGTGAGTGAGTGATTTGAGTTTAACGCCCCATCCTTATGAACTGTGTCACATTTTAAAGCTCGTGTACCTCCGTCGGTGGGTTATTATTAGTCATTGTGTCTTTAGTGGCCGTGTACGGTGTCATATTACGTGTCACATGACCTCCATCAGTTAAATGATTGGCTCAAACCTATCGTCTGCTGTAACAGAATACTACTGTTACTGTTGTGGATCATTACTTTTGGAGTATATCTTGGATATTGCCTTTTTATGCTCTATCATAGCTAAATTGTGAGTTCAACTGTTATTTTCTTGGCACTCACTTGGAATACCATGTGTTTTACTCACTGTTTATTTTCAAAAAAGGTAAAAAAGGTAATATTTGTCAAAAAAGGTATGAACATATTGGAATTGTGACAACTCTAAAACTAATGAATTCTCAAGTCGAAAATATCAAGAGTACATTTGTAGCATATGGGTTAGTGTGTGCATTAAAATATGTAGGTCGAGTAGCGTCGTGGTTAAAGCGTTCGCTCGTCACGCCGAAGACCCGGGTTCGATTCCCGACATGGGTACAATTAGTGAAGCCCATTTCTGGTGTTCCCCGCCGTGATATTGCTAAAAGCGGCGTAAAAACAAACTCACTCACTATATAGAACCTTTAAACCGTAAGGAATGTTGCATCTTGTGATTGTATGTGGATTTATGGATCTCTTTATCCAAGTTGAATTATTTTTTATCATTGCAACAGTTTACATGTGTATCTGTGAGAAAAGCAGTCTATTCTTTTTGTATCTCCTTCTTCGGGAGCCGTCATATAGCTGGAATATTGCTGAGTGCGCCTTAAACAACAAACCAACCAACCAACCTTCTTCGAGACCAGGAGGAGAATGCAAGCATGACCCCAAAACTTCTCCCAGAGGTATCCGATCAAAAGATGTTCAACATGATATACAAAATCAGGTACTTGCGGAGAAAATACAAACAAAAGTGGGAATAATGGTATTCCTCCTGAGAAGAAATCTATGATACCGTGATGGTAGCCCATGTAGTCAGGGATACAGTTTGAAAAAATTACCAAAGATGGTAATAATCATGAAATGAATAAACCTTATCACCTATGTGAAAAAGCATTAATATTCAGTAAATATATTTCGCAACATGGAAAACCAATGAAAGTAACCAAACACAGCTATTTTAGTAAACGCCTCCGTTTGTCCAGTTGACAGAGGCGAGTGGGGGAATCTGTCGTCTGCTGGCAAACTATGTTTACTGTAAGTAGGTCTCACTCGAAAACGAGGCATGGTTTTTACGGGAAAATATATCAATTATTAAATTGAGGTTTAGCTCGCACGCCGTCAGGTGCTAAGTGCCCGAATGACTTACTTTATATAACCAACTTGTCCTGCTGCTACAAATGTCATATTCAATCATATACAATTCGCTGTTCTAAATAGTGGCGCGTGTTTTTTACAAGACAGCAAATTGTTTTAAGGATTCTGGTCTTGTAGCACTTAGGAGTTCCAGTGATGGTGTCAGATCATATTGGAAACATATTGACATTTATGATCTAGTCACAACAAGAACTATTATGAAAAATTAAGTTAGTGGTTTAGGTTACTGGCGCTTTGAACAGTATTCCAGTTACATCGCGGTTTGTTAGCCTAATGTGGGAAGAAATCCCGAAGTGATGCAGGTCTTAGAGGTTTACCACTTCGGTGAAAGCCACCAGCACGTTATAGTGCTGATGTACCTAGATACATAATCGGGAAGTATCGGGATTCGAACCTACGATCATGGGTTTCTGGCGTGCCCAAGGTACACAACTCTGCAAGGCGAAATGCTTTGCAATCGAGCATCAAAATTCACGCTTCTTCGGTAATATGTGCCATGAAGTGTGATTTTTCAATACCTTTACACATTTTGATTATTCTCCTTAGAAGAGGAATATAAACGCGATAATAACAACCATTGTTTCTTGCATTATGTAAAATTAATCTTATACGGAAATACCGCAAATACGTTGAGAATAAACTAAGTCTTGTAAATTTAGCCATCGCGTGACTAATTACACCTTGTTTTTCAGTATGAATGACAGTTGAATTAATTTAAATTCACAGCAACGTGAAGTTACAACAGAATGTTTTATATTTTCAAGCCTTTCAGGAAATATTTCTAGAAGAAAACGCCATCTCAAGATATCAGGATGTTGTTTAGAACTGCGAATGTATTGATTGGAAAGGATTTCAATATACATAATCCAAATTCCCCCAGCGCCAAAACTAGGTTGCTGACAATAGTGGGGCCGCTTAGTCTTGATCGCAGATACATCGAATAAATAAACCTTTAGAAACTGAAAGGTAATAAACGATGTTACTTTTTATTGAAAAGTACGTAAATATCATGACTAGGAATAGAAGCGGCCTTGATGAATGACGTCATAAGTCAAGAAAAGAATCGCGTTTAGTTTTCTTGTTTGCCCACTCAGGTTTTTTAAGTTGCATGCGCACGTGATTGAACGCGAGTATTTTCATCTAAATGTCTGAGATATTACTAATTTATTTAACATTTTGTGGGTCCTTTGCATTTGTTTGTTTGTTTGTTTGTTTGTTTGTTTGTTTGTTATAGGCGCCTGTTGTGGCAAGTATGGGTTGCTGAAGATCTATTCTAGCCTTGATTTCCACTGGTCACTTTGTATTTGTACTTAGGGAATGACCATTTGATATTCTGTGTGTGCGTGCGTGCGTGTGTGGTGGGATTTACCAAATCAAATAAATTTTCCCAGAAAATGCGAGAAAGAATTAAATTGTCTACCACAAAAATGACATTGTTTCTATGTTCCAGTGATTTAAGAATAAATATTTAGGCGCATAGTTTAATTTAAACAAAAACATCTGGTTTGGAAACATATGCATATAACAATGGTTACCTAAAACCCATTAGAATTGTATACGTTCGATATCATAACAATAGCATATCAAACATGATGAAATTTATTTCGGAACACTCGCAGTTAAGTAAAACTGACACCAACAACTGTCTCATGGCCACACCATACGAGGTACAAAAATGAGGACTCGCGCAGATTTTCTCGTGTCGTACAATGCTGACTCGTCCTCAGCTAAAAACGGTGGTGTTCAGCCATACTTTAGGGTGTTTCCGTTGGCAAGGAGGCTCATTTGTACCAGTAATTCTTCTCTAATGGTGAACATACTTATAGATCGGCGTTTGTAAATAACACTGTCTCCTGTGAACAGCTATTTTGGCAGCCATGGGCAGTGAAAAATAACGTAAGTAGATCAGCCATGTCAAGCTTAGGGGAGGAGGGATAGTCATTCTGTGTATATATTACTGTAGCTGAGGAGTTATTTCAAACTTAATGGTACATAAGTACAACTTTTAAAAAATAACTAATACACTGTGATATATTAATTTGTTTGAGAAATTAATTTGTTCAGCATTTTTGTAATTAAATTAATGTCTACAACCTGTCACCCCTACAGTGGTGGATGCCATGTTGACTTGGCTTAGTCCGTACAGAGCAAATATGCAACAGATTGGGGTGATATTTAATATATATCTAGAGAGGATTATTTCATCAATGGTTTTCAAAAACTTTGCATTTTGTAAACATTGTTTTGAACCAGTGAAAATGAATTTTATTAATCTAGAACTGGAATAATATTGTTTTATGTTCATCAGTACTTTTCGGCTCGTCATAAGATTGCTGACCAATTTGTCCATGTGTAAATACGCGTTCACCATTTTTCATATGGACAAACATATACAGTGACATTTACATTCATATACAAAAAGACATATTTCGAAATTTCTGAATTTGATATTCTACTTTCTCGCAGTGGGCATCAAGTGCTGATTCGCGAGTTTCTATTTCGACCGTTGTCCTTGACAAAGCTCAGCACGTTGTATTATCTATTTTTAAAAAGCCTCGTTGAAAATCCGATCTCCTATCTTCAGGCAAATGTAAATATCAACACTATTGAAATATGAACCGCCCTGTGTTTTTGTTATATTTTGAACGTTTATTGCCGGGCACGTAACTGAGCGGATGTCGGAAGTCGGTCAACTAGCAGTACCTTGATGTTCGCTGGTAATTGATCTGTATTAGATTTTCTAATTTTCTTGTATACTTCGAAATCCCAGATGAACTGTATTGGTGCTTATTCAGCACTCAAATAATACTTCTACGTGTTTTTTAAAAAAAATCAAAAATTAAAAAATAATTAATTTATTTTTAAATTCGCATAATACACTATTGCTGATGGGTATTTGAAAATCGATAAATTTGCTTCTTTCGGGACAAATGTTTAATTTCAAACATGGTTAAAAAAACATTTTATACCCCAGTCTTCATCTAACCTTTATTTCTTTTAACACAGCCACAGATTAATTATTTCGCATTGTTGCATTATTGAGTAGGGGCGGTCAGGTAGCCTAGTGGTTAAAGCGAAGACCCGGGTTCGATTCCCGACATGGGTACAATGTGTAAGCCCATTTCTGGTGTCCCCCGCCGTGATATTGCTTGAATATTGCTAAAAGCGGCGTAAAACCATACTCACTCACTCACCATTATTGAGTCATGGTTAAATAGACATAATCAACAGTTCTTTCCTTTTTCAATACATAAAACACAAACTCGGTATTCTTTCTTTTGTCTCTCTGTTTACATACAAAGACAACCTTCAAAAATGTTATCCACTATTCTTTACGGTCATGTTGACGATATTTTAAAGCTATGATATATGTCGAAATGTCACAAACACAATGTTTACAAACTCTAGAGACTTCCACGTGCATGGAAGCCATCATGTCTCGCTGTGAGCACTTTGTTAATGTCACTGGAAATACGCATGTAGCTTTTTTCTACAAGATGGTAATGTTGTTAAGTGCCCGACAAAGGCAACACAACAATACAGCTTGGAGGATCTTATAGTATCTGACATAAGGATCAGCCGACCTGAAATTTCTCAAATGCGACCAAATTTTTTTTAAATCATAATAAAAACAGTTGTTGACATCTTAGTTTAAAAACACCACAGCATATTTCATACTTTCACTTAATAATGATAATAATAATAATAATTATTATGTAATGTGTTTATTTATACTGGGCCATATCCACGCTGTAAAGCATGCTCAATGCGCTATATTATTACCCGGTCAATGGATCAGTATGTACTCGATTTTCATTCTCAGCTCCCTGGGGAGTATGCTTGCAGACCAAAATGTACAAACTTCTATCATTATTACCGGTAGTGGTTCATTCTCCCTTCAGTGTTTTATTGTACAATAAATACGTTTCTTAAATGAAGCCTCGTTCTTCATTGTTCTTTGCGATTTATCGCGTAGTTACTTTATATAATGTAAATATAACACGGGTCTTCAGTGTGGTTAACGCACACGATAAGAACTATTCCTGAGGACAACTTTCAGCATCCCACAGTGGAGACTGACACTGTTCGACATAGCAAACGTCATTGGGAAACACACGAAATGTTTTGATTTCTTTTTATATGTTGTTTGTATGATGTTTAACGCCGCACTCAGCAAAATGATAGCGGTTGGTAAATAATCGAGTCTGGGCCAGACAATCCAGTGATTGACATCATGAGCATCGGCCTACGCAACTCCGATACAACGACATACATCAACCAAGTCACCGAGCCTGACCACCCGATATCGTTAGTCGACTCTTATGACAAAATGGGTTGCTGAAGAATAATTCTCAACCGGGTCTTCCCCGGTCTTGTTTCATATGGTGAATGAGTGATTAAGATTAACGTCCCTTTCAGGATTATCCGAGCCATATGACGGGTAGGGGGACACGAACAATAGACTTCACATATTAACCCATTCTTGCAATAAAAGGAGACTATGCTATAGGAAACCACCCCTATGGTAATAGACTCGTGAAGATCCGGGGTAGAATAGTTCTTCAGCAACCCATGCTTGCTGTAAAAGGTGACTAAGCGTGTCGTAAGAGACGACTAACGGGATCGGGTGGTTAGGCTCGCTGACCTGGTTGATGCATGTCATCGATCCCAATTGCGTGGATCGATGCTCATGATGTCAATCACTGGATTGTCTGGTCAAGACTCGATTATTTACAGACCGCCGTCATATAGCTGGAATGTTGCCGAGTGCGGCGTTAAACAAACAAACAAACAAACAAATCACATGTTACACTCAAGCATCGAATGGGTTTTATGTCGTGACGAGCGAACGCCTTTCCTGCTTGGCTACCCAACAGTGTGATAATGCTGAATAATATTATAAAGAAGTCAAACACTTACGTTCCCAGGACACGATATTCGATCCTCCAACATTGAACACTACCTCCTCAAAGTCTTCATTTGTCTGACTGGAAGTTTGAGTGCGCATGAACTGATCCACTTCCTGGTGATTCTCTGACGTCCGCTGATTGTTGTGATCACTGCACGTGGGGCAGGAAAAATCTCTGCGTCGACGGAATTTCGGTGCGAACTCTAAACAGCTCCTGCAGTAGAGGTGCGACTTGCAATGAAAGGGGGTGACTCGGACGTTCTTCTGCTTACATACGTCACAATTCCCCGGTAGAAAGTCTAATTCGCAGGCACTACTCAAACAGCCACCGCCTGATGTCAGATCCATCTTGCCCTATCACTTGCACTGACGCCACTGTTGTGGCTCTGTGACGTCATTCTTTTATGACGTCATTAAATATTTGTGACGTAATGGTTTTGTCGCAGCCTAAAAGTCAAGAGTGTTTCAAGGGGCCACCATCTCGCTTACTGACTTATTGTGAACCTCAAATTACGGGGGCGGTCGGGTAGCCTAGTGGTTAAAGCGTTCGCTCGTCACGCCGAAGACCCGGGTTCGATTCCCGACATGGGTACAATGTGTGAAGCCCATTTCTGGTGTCCCCCGCCGTGATATTGCTGGAATATTGCTAAAAGCGGCGTAAAACCTTATTCACTCACTCACTCACTCAAATTACGGTTGGCAATTGCATGGGATTTGATAGACTGGAAATATTTTACAAATGTAATTTTTTTTTTCGTCATTGGTAGTAAATTTATGAATTTATGATATATTGAAAAAAAATCTTTTTTATGGTTTTACAGTTTGGTTCTTAGTGTTACATAATCCCACGTACCTATTTCACGGTCAAATAAAATGAAACAGACTCTGCTCGACGTTAGGGATAGAATTTAGATGTCAACAGTCGAGAAATTATAAACAGCCGGGCGAAAGTATACGCCCACGTTTAATCGTGGCTGAAACTGAAACAAGCAAGAAAAGGTTATTCGATGGTGATATATCTGATACGGTGTCATAACTGTGGTTTGGGGGGTCAAGTTTGCAATGTTTCGGCGACAGTTTTCACCCTAGTAACGTTGATAACGTTTGTAATTTTTTAGGTCATAGCCAATTTTCTCGTGTATACTATCGGTGTATATGTGAGTGAGTGAGTGAGTGAGTATGGTTTTACGCCGCTTTATAGCAATATTCCAGCAATATCACGGCGGGGACACCAGAAATGGGCTTCACACATTGTACCCATTTCGGGAATCGAACCCAGGTCTTCGGCGTGACGAGCGAAAGCTTTAACCACTAGGCTACCCGACCGCCCCGGTTTATATGTTAGTGTATGGTGGGGTATCATTGGGGAAATAACATTCTACTTGTGACAGCTTTTTTCAATTTCTTTTTCTGTAGTCTCGGATGACAGTGTAAGCTCTAATTCTGATACACCATATATACGTAACAAATGTGACATTTGCATAAAATGAATGTCCGGCAACTGCTAGTCTAGATCACGTACTTTGTGTACCCCTCTGACAAGTGTAAGTTGGCACGGTTCACATGACCGAAAGTTATCAATGCACAAGCTTCGATGGCTGAGTGGGTTAGATCGCTGACTTTGTGTGCTGGCGATTAGGTGCCTCACTCTGGCAGTGTAAGTTCGGATCCCGGATGGGACTCAACCCCCAAAAGTACTAGAATCTGTACTTTACTAAGAAAGTGTTTTTCCGAATATAACATTTCTTACATTTGACCGCTTCCTAAATGGCGTCGGGTAATCACACGATTAATACGTTCAGGGTGTCAAGCAGACTTCGAATATAGCCTTGAGGAACAAGTTCTTAATATTTTGATCAAATCCAAATTTCAAGTGTATACTTTCATTTGTCCGGAACTATATAATAAATAAAAATATATCCCTAAAGTGGCGCAGTGTCTTTTTAATTTTATTTTACTGCGAAACAGGTGTATGGAATCAGCTTGTACAAACAACAAAATACATATTTACCAATTGTTTCCAAAATTCAAAACGTTCTTATCAATGACGAGATGTAAAATAAACCCGTAAAAACTCTCGATGCCAAGCTTCCAGTCTCCCATCGGTAGCTCATTATACTCGTCATTGCTGTAAAGAGTGACGTGGTTTATAAAACGAACATTGATTTATGTAACCGACCTTTTCTTCTATTTAATACATTGTCAGAAACCATTTTCCCCCAAATCAAATAATTTGACGCAATAAGAGAAAATATTTTATATTGATCCCTTCCCTCTATAAACGTAACCCAGACAACCAAAATAAAATAAATGGAAATAGTGTGTTTTTTTCATTGTAGGTATTATATGCATGTTTGCATGCACGCTCCGGTACAAGACGGTTATTTAATCCGACCTGATCATTTCCCATCCAATCACGTTATGATCGAAACCTTTTTCACGGCACATTTAGTGGGATCTATATACACAAGATGATTGCATATCAGAATGTAATCAGTTCCAAGTGGGAAATACCAGTTTCGTGCCAAATTAGGTTCCTAGCTCCCTTTCCATCAACCGCATGTCGAACCATATTTGTACATCACGGGCAAATGTTAACATAAACATACCAGTCAGGTCAATCACAGCTAGATCGTCAATCGTGTTACGTTTCAAATGTGTGTTAATCGCATAGGAAAAATCCCATAGTTTCCCAGTCCGCTGATTGCCGTGTACGATCAGAATAGGACTACCAAAACATCCTATAATTGAATATTTTCTTTGAAGTCGATTCGAGTGTGGTTTCTTTGAAATATCTGATTTCCAGGCGCACGCACATGTAGGCAATTTTGAGCAATTGTCTGGCAGAACGCTGCTGTGGATAACTGCTGTCTATATAGTGAGTTCCGTTTAAATCTCGCGAGAACGAGCCTCGCTTTCGGTGATCGTAAATCACAGAGGATCATGGGGATTCAACAGAGCAATTTCACGGTATCGTTATAGCATTACGGTATTTACATCGCATAAACGTTACATAAAGCGAAAAGGAAAGGGTAAAGTTTAACATAACACTTGAGAATGTCACTCGCATAAAATAATCGCAGGAGATCACTGACATCAAACCTACATCTCTTTGATACAGCTCATCCCTGCAGAGCTGGTCCAACTGCCTTGGAGGGCGGGAGAAAGGGAGGTTAGGGGACCGACCATTTATATTCGCGGGTTTTTGGGGAGGGGGAGGGAGGGTTGGGGTGTCGTGATTGACAGTCCGGACTTTTGTTACGGACAGAATATTTTTTAAGTTAGTGCCTCAAAGCATTAATTTAAACAATGTCATCGAAGGGGCCTTAGATTATTTGGAAAACAAATTTGTTCCAGAAAAAGCTGAAAAAACTAAGTTTGTCTCATTCTACCCCAATACAATAATTGTTCGGTTTAACCTTTCAGAAAAAAATCCCGGCGTTGCTTTTTATAGACAGAATTGCTAGCTGTGACCGTTTGTGTATATCTGGCCGATTTCGTACAGAAAAAGAAATAACAAAAACTTGTTTTTCAAAAAACAATCTCACCACTTTCATGCGACCCAATTTAGCAATCGGTTGATGGCGATGCCTCATCATGCCCCGGTCCCCGAATAGTGGATAGTCCCCGATTAACTGAAATAATTGGAGATTGATCGGAAGGTCCAAACGACCTTGGAATCGAACGCAGTTTCCAAAATCGAACACAAACGAGAAGAAGAGAAAATGTAGGCCAGCGTCTTTTCCAAACATTTAGCATCAAGACCCGTCATGAATAGGTCTTAACAGGCCCGTGAAGTTACAGGGTAGAATAGGTCTTCAGCAACCCATGCTTGCCGTAAAGAGCGACCATGCTTGTCGTAAGCGGCGACTAACGGGATGGGGTGGTCAGGCTCTCTGGTTTTGGTTGATGCATGTCATCGTATCCCAATTGCGTGGATGTCAATCACTTGATGGTCTGGTCCAGACTCGATTTTTTACAGCCCGCCGTCATATAGCTGGAATATTGCTGAGTACGGCGTTAAACAACAAACAAACAACAACATTAAGCCTCAAGTAAGTAGAAGCGTTTGTCTTTGTTAGGTGGAGTGTAGTTACTGAACCTAACATTTAAAAGCAGCAAAATGACGCAAACAGATTGATTTCGCTGATCAATCAAGTGGAACAAGTGTAACGCGAGACATATTTATTGCGTTCTTGATCTATACTCTAACTTTGCACATGTTGATCGCCGGAGGGCATTCCGCTCTGTGTAAACTACTCAATGTTAAAACCTAAACCACATTATTTGCTATTGCTGCGGTTCATGTTGGACATGTTTGCCATTTTAAAAACTCGACTAGAACTCAAACCTTGAGATCTGCAAGTGCCTTCGCATTTCTGTCGTAAATAATGATTCTCTTTCCGATATAACATATCCGAAAACGTTATAACCATGTTCAAGAGAAAAGGGGCGGCGTATTAGCCAAGTGGTTAAAGTGTTCGCTCGCTCGCCGAAGATCCGGGTTCGATTTCTCACATGGGTACAATGAGTATTGTTTCACGCCGACTTTAGCAATATTCCAGCTATATCAGGGCTGGGTACACCCGATATAAGCTTCACACATAGTACCGATGTGGGGAATCGAACCCGGGTCTTAGGCGTGACGGCCGAACGCTTTAACCACAAGCCCCGTTACTGTGATGTTGCTGGCATAATGCTTAAAACGTCTTAAACCCACTCACTCACTGAGAAAATTTGGAGTCAGCAATATTATCACTACGACCTCATCACTGTAGCCCGTTATTACTTACACTGTATATAGTTAAAACCATTGAATATGAAATATTGAGATTACTGTTAAAGGTCTTTGAGAATTGCCTATACTGCTGGACACTGAACTAATCCATACTATTCACGTACAGGAATGCTTAAAGAAATCGGTTTGTTTTCTCCGGGAATGACAGGAATACCTATGGCGAAAATTGCACCTTTGCAGCTATTGCTTATCAGAGACATGCGTCAATGTTTTTGTTTTTGTTGTTTAATGCGACAAAAAGTAATATTCCAACTGTTTCAGGACGGTCTGTAAATAACTGTACTAACGAGTCTATGCACAGTCCAATCAAAATCGCGTAACGAAATCAACATCCGGTTCGTAATCTGCCGTGCAGATTTCGGTCGACTGTATGACTTGGAAAGCATTTGTACCGTCAACTGAGCATTGACAGATATTTTCCACATCTTTTCAAGTTTTTAATAAAGGTGCTCACGTGATTTGATACACTTCGAAAAGTATGACCCGTTTTATAATCTGGATCTTGATTATAGATCAGACCGTCTTGACTGGGCAACGCCATTTTGTTTGAAACAAATGCCAGTGATTTCAAAGGTGGAATCTGATTGGTCAATATGAGGGACATAGATGGGACATAACTCGTAATAGCCACTGGTGGCGCTACGATTGAAACCCAGAAATTCCGGCCTTGTTTGGTAAGGATGGAAACTGGACTTTTACAGTCAGTTAACTCCCTTGTCTCGGGAGATATGCTCTTTTGAACAGGACGGTCTTCAGGGTTGACGGGAAGCTGGGGACAACCTTGGACCTGATGACATCCACTGGAAGTCCATGCCATAGATTTGTTTGTTTGTTTGTTTGTTGTTTAACGCTGCACTCAGCAATATTCCAGCTATATGACGGCGGTCTGTAAATAATCCAGTCTGAACCAGACAACACAGTCGCCTTTTACGGCAAGCATGGGTTGCCGAAGACCTATTCTATCTCGGATCTTCACGGGTACCCATGACATAGAGCAGCGGCAGCAGTACTAAAAGTTGTTTCCAGAAGATGCAATAATCAAACCTGAGAGGTATAAAATGATTTGTGACGAGTTACTTCGAAATATGCCCTTTTCCACCCAACAGCCGGTAGGCTGAGCTGGTAATATGTCTCGTTGGCAGCTTGGGTTGTATACTCCCCAGTGAGCTGAACACACTGATCCATTATCCGAGGAAGTAATGATGTAGCGCTTTGAGCTAACTCAAGAGTGTGGAACATGAAGTGTTTTAAACATACTCATCATCATTATTAATAAATATGATTAATATTATTATTGTTGTTGTTTTTATTATTAATAACACGAGATTTGTGTCCTCGAGGCTATAGTTTGAATACAGACAAATTGTAAGGCTCTAAACAATCTCCCGTTCCTTCTGTTTCTTTCATTATTTCAACACAAAATTCACGTGCGAGAATCGTCAGTAGCCGGTCTTGTTTTTTGTAGTCGAAAGGGGCCCGTAGCAGCTTTGTTTCATGCGAGTTGGAGTTATCTCCCTTTATTGAAAATTATAGAATCGTGAATAAAATCGAAACTAGTGTAACTGCGGTTTGAGTACTACTATAGTCCTCGCCACTTAAAATAGAATCACGAAATATCGCGATGATTAATTGTTTGTGTGTTGTTTAACAACAACGTGAGTTTTGATCACGTGGTTACACTCCGGGTTAGACTCAACGGTCAGGTGACTGCGAGAAGTTATATTTTGGGGTGCGCTGCAAACAGCCAATCGCTGGCAAGCGATGTACAGCAAAAACCGTTACAGTGGGGCGCTAACTTTCAGCCGCTTGCAATCTAACCAATCGCTGAGGTCGCTTCGTTCTCAAACCAAAATGGCGGCTGAGAAAAAATTGATTTTTGACAGCGGAACAAAGAATTCTTGTCTGGATCAGCTGGGAAATGGGCAAAGGCAGCTAACATCCCAGCACCCTCAGCCTGATCTACATCTTCAAAAGCGAGCCTCTTCTATTTCGTTCTTCATTTGGGCAAGGCAACCAAGTGGTAGTCGCGCCGCCATTTTGGAAGAGTTCGCAAGCGCTTCTAAGCGATTTTCGGCTTGCAAGGCGCCTACAGCAATGACCTTGGTCAACAGCGCTTCGATATATCTGCACGTGTCTTTCTTTCAGTTCGTGCTGGTAATGCACGTCCACTGGACACGCTGCTAAATATAGTCGCGCGGTGACACCTGACTGACGATCCTCAGTCGGCCATTGTTACCACGTGATCAAAACTCAATGACGATGTTTATCGTTTAGAAAATGGACATTTCTTGAATTTGCAATTTGCAATTTATGTCATTACTGTAAATAATATTCCTCATCGACGGAATGGCCGATTTCACATTATGCGTATTAGCACACATGAAGCTATCTTCGTCAATTGATCATCGCGATATTTCGTGATTCTATTTTAAGTGGCGAGGACAATGGTTTATCAATCCATTCGATCACCAAGTCGCTATGTTACATAAGGTAAAATAAACATGTTGTGCAACAAAGTCGGAAAATCTATATATTCCATTTTACTCATTATACACTGTACACGTTAATAAATCAATTACATTTCCCGGTGTGTACTCAAAACTCAAATCAAATATTTACATGCGTTAACATGCAGTAAACAAAATGGTGTCTAATAGAAGACATACAAAAGACAAGTTTATTTTATAGAAAACACTTTATTTGTCAATGTAGAAAATATTGAGTACAAAACATGCCCTTTGGCTTGCATAATGGGTTAATGAATACAGTGGCAGTGAGACCGTGTGTCCCAGCTACCCTAGCACTGGCCCCGGGGGTGGGGAGGGGGGAGGTACATGAAGCCACGCGTTAGTACGCCACAATGTACAGCTCTGTAAAATGTAGGCCAGGTATGACATGGTTCGTGTGAAAATCTTTATGAGATGACTATACTACTCAAAAGAAGTTAAGAATGCCCGATTCTTTCGTATTACTCAAATGTATCCGTCATGTCGCGCCATTAACACTGGCAGACAGACTAACTATAGTAATATGAACGAATTTTTACGTTCTTAACTTCTTTTAAGTAGTATATAGTAAGCCACTTAGCTGAATTTCCTCTCATCATACCAATAATTTCCGCCAGTCGCTATTAATTGTGTTTGTTCTTGAAGGCGAAGATGCGATTGTCTATCGTTCATCTATATTCACAAGTAGCACCGTTTTACATCAGGTAACCTGTACCGGCACTGCTTGAAAAAATATCACGCAGATGTTACACGACATAGATACCGTAAACCTACGGCAAGCTGTTCTTACTGGGGTCTTCTTACTGAGATAGGAATAGAATCATTAGAGTTGGACACATTGTACTGCCTGTTAATGAGAAAATCCGATACCAATGTTAAGAAACATATCACCTCCTCTGAGTATACAGCAAACTTACTAAGATTAGGAACAACAGATGAAGCGCCTGTGTCTATTCGTGGGTCACGACTTAAATAAAGTCTAGATCAATTAGTATATGTTGTTTACATCTACAGGGAGTCAGATGGGCTTCCGTTGTTTTTATGAGATATTCGTCGGGCTTGTCCCCCTCCAACATATTTATGTATCGAGTAGTGGCAGCAGCTCATTTTTGACCAAAATCCGACTGACGAACAAATCTGTTTTGGGGGCCTTATACATATTCAAACAGAGGCATCTGAAGTTATGGTTGAAACAATTAAATTGTTAAAAAATTAAAATTACCAAAAGGCGCCCCCTTAATATTTATGAATATTAGAGGAGGGTGTTTGTACATAACGCATGAAACATATATTTGTTGTTATTAGCCTCAGATTCATCTGAACAAACCTATCGTCACCGTGGCCTCACACATGTCGACACTGCTACAGTCCGACAATGGAACCCTATCGACACTGCTACAATGGTACCCTATGTTAAATACATCTAGTACTAAACAACACATAATACACATATGATACACTTAAAACGATGGCTCGCATTTTCTTATTTGCAAGCCTATTGAGTATTGAGCATCTCAAGTCTCTTGTCCTGACTTAGAAGACGAGGGATAAAAGTCGTACCTGTTCTGAAAGAGCTCGACTCCACATATTGATCCACGCCACTTTTACTGTATATTGTTTGAGCAATTCCATGAAGAGATCCAATATATGACGCAATGATCAAGGGGACTTATTTCCTAAAGTCTATATTCTAAAAGAGAGAACTCTTGCGTTGACGTTAAAGCGTTGCTATTACCGTTTAAGGAGTTTGCGGTATAGAGACGAGGAGTTATAAAGCATGGCTGTGTAGTTATATATAGTCGTCGGCTCGATACAGTCATAATATACCCTATATACACGAGTACTTTGGCACACTAGAACACTGAGAGTAAAACGAGCATCTCCAATAGCACCATGGTTGTACGACCCGCTCAGATCACTTAAAGCCACACTCTCATTCCAATGATAATGTTCAATCAACGTTTCCGACACATCACTTCCGCTTTTTCATCAAGGCCACTTCGTTGCACCTTCTTGGGTCAATATCGTCTGGGCATGCGCAGGAACGACCTCCGCTTGGTGATGGTAGACACAGGTAACGACATCCGCCGTTGTTAACTGCGCAGCCATTGGTAACTGAAACGTAAAGAGGTAAGGTAAGGATATTTGACTTTACCTTTTCCTGTCAAATCTTACCAGTGAGACCCAAATCCCTTCCGCTTGAGGAGTTATCAAACATGGGCCCACTTTCACAAAGCGACCATAGCGCTACGACTATCGTAAACCTATGTTAAAGTATTGGAGTTACGTTCGTCTTAGAGCTGAGATCGTTTTGTACCAGTGGGCCCTAGTCCGACCCACTCAGTGTCTTATACACTGGCCCATAGTCGTCCAACTAACCAACCAAAATTACAAGGGTTATCTCCCCTTCTGCAACCCCATTGTTTCAAGAAGCAAACAAACACCTTTTTTATGCAAATTGTGTGAGCGGCACGACATACTAACCCTTTCCCGGTGTTATCACTGATTATCAGTGATCCATTTATATATATGTATAATGAAACACTTTGAAAACGAACAATCAACTCCAACATGTAATCAGAAAACATGTGTTTTTGCAAGTCCATCTCCAAACACATCGAATTAAATTTGAATCAATATGACGCCATTCCTGTGTTTGGTTATCTCATTCCTAAATACCCAGAACAACTAAATTTGATTTTTGGGTCATTTTGCCAAATGTGACCAAAAATACGAATATGCGTTTATATGGTCTTTCAGTATAATTTTTAAACACAATTTTGTGTTGTGTGCCCAATGTCGAAACTGGTTTGGCTCTGGCATTGACGTTTAATCTTTACTAAGGGGGTTAATCCAACCATCCAGGAGCTGCTCACCTCGAGGACATTGGTCTCTGACTGCTGTCACGCCGTACACGCGGCCATTGCCGCCGATGGCGAGGTTGAGCGGGTCGTTGGCCTGAGCGCCTCCATCCCGGTTGATGTTTGGAATTCCCTTGCTGAAAGCATACCATGAGTGTTATTCTTGAAATATCCCCGAGGAGTGGTCAATGTGAGGCAGTATGGTTACAGTGAGACGCAGGTTTATTGTAGAGTGAGAGAGTATGGTTTTTCGCTGTTGTAAGCAGTATTTCAGCAATTTTACAGCGGGGGACACCAAAATTGACTTGTACCTATGTGGGAATAGAACCCGGGACTTCGGCGTGGCGAACGAACACTTTCACCACCAGGCTACCCCACCGCCCCTTTATTGTAGGGAAATGATTCAGTTGTTCAAATAAATTTCAGTACCAAGGTGCTAGCTATGTTACGTGTGGTCCGGCGATCGCAAGTCTTACAGGGCTGTGCACCTTAGCTGTAAGGATCCGCTGGTCGCGGTTTGAAACCAAGATTCGCCGCGACCATGAACCTTGGTTTGTCATACTCGTGCTCGAGGGTGGCACCAAACGTCATCCAACGTCAAGTTGACAGGCTTGATGCAACGGACATATTGTTCCAGTAATATATGAACCGCTGATGCTAACCCGCCTCAGTGAAAGGTACAGGTAAAGTCGCTACTCACGTCTCCCAGTCGGACCAGTACAGGACGTTGTTGAAGTAGGTGACGTCGAAGGGGTAGGTGGCCTTGTCGTAGAGGATCCGGCGTCCTAGACCATCACTTCGGATACATTCAATGCGTTTCGTACCTGAGTAGGACAGAGGACTACTTTATTTAGAAGTAGAAACAAATATTTATAGAACTACAGTCAGCTTTAATAACGTGAGTGAGTGAGTATGGTTTACATCGCTTAAAGCAATCTCACAGTAGGGGACGCCAGAAAAGGGCACAACACTTTGCCCATGTGGGGAATCGACCCAGGCCCTTAGGCGTGACGAGCGAACGCTTTAAGCACTAGGCTATCCCACCGCTCTTGTATAAAGAAACATGTGATGGATACTGAATTCTGGTGTTCAGAACAAATAATAGTGAGTGAGTGAGTTGGGCTTAACGCCGCTTTTAAAAGTATTCCAGTTATATAACGGCGTGTCAGCTTAATGTGGGAGGAAAGCCCGAAGTGATGCACGTCTCAGGCGTTTACCACTTCGGTGAAACTCACGAGCACGGGTATGGTGCTGACAAACCTAGAAACATAATCGGGGCGAACCGAGATTCGAACCCACAATCATAGGTTTCTGGCGTGCCCAAGGGACGCAACTCTGCACAGCGAATCGCGGCTCCTTAAACGACTGGGCCACCCGTGCCCCCAAGAACAAACAATAACTACCGGTTCAAAGTTTTAGCCATGAAATATCCAAGAGATTCTTGTCACCAATTTGCAATCAATTACGTCAGGGTACTGTACAATCTGACATCAGTTCGATCCTGGTGAACAAGTTATCCCGCCTCATTTATAAAAGGGCCGGTGAGGTAGCCTTGTGGGTAAAGCGTTCGCTCGTCACGCTGAAGACCCCTGTTCGATTCCCCATATGGGCACAATGTGTGAAGCCCATTTCTGGTGTCCCCCGCCACGATATTGCTGGAATATTGCTAAAGCGGCGTTAAACTGTACTCACTCTCTCATTTAAAATAAACAACATACTACTCCTTCATGGTAAGGTGTACTACTCCATGGTAAGGTGTACTACTCCTTCATGGTAAGGTGTACTACTCCTTCATGGTAAGGTGTACTACTCCTTCATGGTAAGGTGTACTACTCCTTCATGGCAAGGTGTAGTACTCCTTCATGGCAAGGTGAACTACTCCTTCATGGCAAGGTGTACTACTCCTTCATGGTAAGGTGTACTACTCCTTCATGGTAAGGTGTACTACTCCTTCATGGTAAGGTGTACTACTCCTTCATGGTAAGGTATACTACTCCTTCATGGTAAGGTGTACTACTCCTTCATGGTAAGGTGTACTACTCCTTCATGGTAAGGTGAACTACTCCTTCGTGGTAAGGTGTACTACTCCTTCGTGGTAAGGTGTACTACTCCTTCATGGTAAGGTGTACTACTCAAAGGAAATGTAATAACATAACTATCAGAGTTTTCATTCATCCCTTTCCCCAATATTTAAAAGTGAATTCACATTTCATCGAGTCTAATGAGGTCAAGTAGTCGTGGCAACCACAACACGAGTTATCTCCCCTTACCGGCGTCTCCCCAGCAGAGTTGTTGTGTCCTGTCGTCCAGGGTGAGGCCGTTCGGCAGGGCCAGGTCGGAGGTGACCAGTACCATCCTGCTGGTGCCGTCCATGTTGGCCTTCTCGATCTGGGGCTTGTCACGGTTCCAGTCCGTCCAGTAGAACACCCTGTGTGGGAGAGGGAATGTAAAGTTAGGACATCACGCCACACGGCATCAAAATGTCGTATTAAGTAGAACACCCTGGTGGGAGAGGGAATGTAAAGTTAGGACATCACGCCACACGGCATCAACATGTCGTATTAAGTAGAACACCCTGTGTGGGAGAGGGAATGTAATGTTAGGACATCACGCCACACGGCATCAACATGTCGTATTAAGTAGAACACCCTGTGTGGGAGAGGGAATGTAAAGTTAGGACATCATGCCACACGGCATCAACATGTCGTATTAAGTAGAACACCCTGGTGGGAGAGGGAATGTAAAGTTAGGACATCACGCCACACGGCATCAAAATGTCGTATTAAGTAGAACACCCTGGTGGGAGAGGGAATGTAAAGTTAGGACATCACGCCACAGAACACGATGACAACCACACGGCATCAAAATGTCGTATTAAGTAGAACACCCTGTGTGGGAGAGGGAATGTAATGTTAGGACATCACGCCACACGGCATCAACATGTCGTATTAAGTAGAACACCCTGTGTGGGAGAGGGAATGTAATGTTAGGACATCACGCCACACGGCATCAACATGTCGTATTAAGTAGAACACCCTGTGTGGGAGAGGGAATGTAAAGTTAGGACATCACGCCACACGGCATCAACATGTCGTATTAAGTAGAACACCCTGGTGGGAGAGGGAATGTAAAGTTAGGACATCACGCCACACGGCATCAAAATGTCGTATTAAGTAGAACAGCCTGTGTGGGAGAGGGAATGTAAAGTTAGGACATCACGCCACAGAACACGATGACAACCACGTGGCATCAAAATGTCGTATTAAGTAGAACACCCTGGTGGGAGAGGGAATGTAATGTTAGGACATCACGCCACAGAACACCATGACAATCGCAGGGCATCAAAATGTCCTATTAAGTAGAACACCCTGGTGGGAGAGGGAATGTAAAGTTAGGACATCACGCCACAGAACACGATGACAACCACACGGCATCAAAATGTCCTATTAAGTAGAACACCCTGGTGGGAGAGGGAATGTAAAGTTAGGACATCACGCCACAGAACACGATGACAACCACGTGGCATCAAAATGTCGTATTAAGTAGAACACCCTGTGTGGGCAAGGGAATGTAAAGTTAGGACATCACGCCACAGAACACGATGACAACCACACGGCATCAAAATGTCGTATTAAGTAGAACACCCTGTGTGGGAGAGGGAATGTAAAGTTAGGACATCACGCCACACGGCATCAAAATGTCGTATTAAGTAGAACACCCTGGTGGGAGAGGGAATGTAAAGTTAGGACATCACGCCACACGGCATCAAAATGTCGTATTAAGTAGAACACCCTGGTGGGAGACGGAATGTAAAGTTAGGACATCACGCCACACGGCATCAAAATGTCGTATTAAGTAGAACACCCTGTGTGGGAGAGGGAATGTAACGTAAGGACATCACGCCACACGGCATCAAAATGTCGTATTAAGTAGAACACCCTGTGTGGGAGAGGGAATGTAACGTAAGGACATCACGCCACAGAACACGATGACAACCACGTGGCATCAAAATGTCGTATTGAGTAGAACACCCTGTGTGGGAGAGGGAATGTAACGTAAGGACATCACGCCACACGGCATCAAAATGTCGTATTAAGTAGAACACCCTGTGTGGGAGAGGGAATGTAACGTAAGGACATCACGCCACACGGCATCAAAATGTCGTTTTAAGTAGAACACCCTGTGTGGGAGAGGGAATGTAACGTAAGGACATCACGCCACACGGCATCAAAATGTCGTATTAAGTAGAACACCCTGTGTGGGAGAGGGAATGTAACGTAAGGACATCACGCCACAGAACACGATGACAACCACGTGGCATCAAAATGTCGTATTGAGTAGAACACCCTGTGTGGGAGAGGGAATGTAACGTAAGGACATCACGCCACACGGCATCAAAATGTCGTATTAAGTAGAACACCCTGTGTGGGAGAGGGAATGTAACGTAAGGACATCACGCCACACGGCATCAAAATGTCGTTTTAAGTAGAACACCCTGTGTGGGAGACGGAATGTAAAGTTAGGATATCACATCACAGAACAATGTGACAACCACGTGGCATCTACATGTCAATATAAGTAAAACACTTTGCAGAAGAGAGGGAATGTAACTTTAGGACATCACGCCACAGAACCCCATGATAAAAAGGTACTCGACATGTGCGGGCCAAAGACGATGGTTCCAAGGTTGACATTGTCTGAACTCAACGTACCATCTCCACTGGTTCAGGACGATGTTAGTGAATTGAATTAAACAACGTACCCTCTACGTGGGTCGAGGACGATGGATCTGGGATTGACGATGTCAGAGCTGAACAGTGTCTTCTGGTCGGAACCATCCAGCTTTGCAACACCAACAACGTCCAGTTCGGAGTCGGTGTAGTAGAGGTTCCTGGAGATGTAGTCAATGGCGACGCCCTCGGGGGACACAAGGCCTAGCAACAATACATAAGTTCATAATATAAACGTCACGTAGTCTCAGTCTTGATAATGGTTATCTCTCCTATAATAATCTCCAAGCTGTTAAAGGTGCGCTCGGGTTTCGTGAAAAACGTCTTGAACCATCTAGTCTTCCCAATTCATGGTGTCCTTGACATGGGTGAATCGTTGTTCAGGGAAAACTCACCTGTGAGAACAGTCTGTATGTCCGTGCCATCATACCGCGCTCTTCTGATTTGACCCCCAGCCACGTCTGTCCAGTAGAGGAAGCCCTCAGAACAGTCTGTGTCCAGGCCTACTGCAAGCTGACCTGGGAACATTCATCACAGATGTACACTCACTGATCGGCCTACTGACACCTGACCTGGGAACATTCATCACAAATGTACACTCACTGATCGACCTACTGATACCTGACCAGGGAACATTCATCACAGATGTACACTCACTGATCGGCCTACTGATAGCTGACCAGGGAACATTCATCACAGATGTACACTCACTGATCGGCCTACTGATAGCTGACCAGGGAACATTCATCACAGATGTACACTCACTGATCGGCCTACTGATAGCTGACCAGGGAACATTCATCACAGATGTACACTCACTGATCGGCCTACTGATAGCTGACCAGGGAACATTCATCACAGATGTACACTCACTGATCGGCCTACTGATAGCTGACCAGGGAACATTCATCACAGATGTAAACTCACTGATCGGCCTACTGACAGCTGACCAGGAACATTCATCACAGATGTAAACTCACTGATCGGCCTACTGACAGCTGACCAGGAACATTCATCACAGATGTAAACTCACTGATCGGCCTACTGACAGCTGACCAGGAACATTCATCATATATGTCACTGATCGGCCTACTGATAGCTGACCAGGGAACATTCATCACAGATGTACACTCACTGATCGGCCTACTGATAGCTGACCAGGGAACATTCATCACAGATGTAAACTCACTGATCGGCCTACTGACAGCTGACCAGGAACATTCATCACAGATGTAAACTCACTGATCGGCCTACTGACAGCTGACCAGGAACATTCATCATATATGTCACTGATCGGCCTACTGATAGCTGACCTGGGAACATCCATCACATATGTCACTGATTGGCCTACTGATAGCTGACCTGGGAACATTCATCATATGTGTCACTGATCGGCCTACTGATACCTGACCTGAGAAACATTCTTCACAGATGTCACTGATCGGCCTACTGATAGCTGACCTGAGAACATTCATCATGTACACTTTCTGATCGGCCTACTGTGATCCGTGCAGATCCGGATTAGAATTGATCTTCAACAATACCAATTGCGTGAATGGTTGCTCATGAAATCAATCACTGGATTGCCTGGTCCAGACTCGATTATTTACAGACCGCCGTCATATAGCTGCGGCGTAAAACAACACAAACTGTGAAGGTAATGTTCTGACGCTACTGAGTGGACGCTACAGGTAACAAGTTCTCGTTCACATTCTCTACTGTCTACTTACCACTGGAACAGTCCACGTACAGACAAAGGCAGTAGGTAAGGGATAAGCGATAAGTGATCCGTAACCTTTCTTGTTTTAGGGTGTGACAAACGGGTCTTTCTAAAGGAGCTAGACCGTGTACAGACCTGCGTATTACAGTTAACGATTAATGTAAAATAGAACTACAAATCTGAAACGAGGTCTTGTTGAAGAGCCTGACGATGTAGACAGTAAAATGCAAATTGAATGAAGCTTCTTGACTAAGTTAAGTGGCAAACCTTGTTACTTGATACTGTAGACGTGTATTCAGGGGCCGTTTAATTACTGTATGCACGGCTTAAAGGATCAATGCTGGTTGAGAGTACAATATTATGTAAGGACGAACCTTAATAACGGATCGGTATCACTGAAACAAACATCTATATGGACTTCGATAAGGATATTGCAATGTGACACGAAATTAATTCTGAAAGGTTTTAATCCTTTCAGATTAATTCCGGTCTTGAACAACGCCTGTGTAAAAATGAACGTGTACGTTATAACCTTGAGCGACAGGTAACATGGCGTAGTGCACTTACCTGGTACATAGATCAGCATCTGGCCCCTCCCGGTGCCCTGATAGGGAACACGTGAGATGCTGTACCCTTGGGCGTAGACGAGGAAGTTACCGCTGCCGTCGAACGCTGCAGTGGAGACAGGATGTGCATGGTGCAACAACAAAATAATTCCAAGGTTCAAAATGTAGAAATACAGTAAGGACTGAGACATGGTGACCGTCTTGTCCCGGTGTGGTTTAACAATTACTGAGACCAAGGGGTGCGCTGTCAGAACGGTTTGTTTGCATGACCCGATGTCGACCCATCATGTTACCAGTCAAACCCACTCAGCCGTGAACATGCATTGTCACACATAATGGTATAGCCTTGCCACAAGTCTCTAATCTATGTATACATGTCGTATTAAGATACAGATCATCACAACCAGCATTACAAAAGACGCGTCATGTGTGACACCCTTAAGGGACAAAGAAACTGTTTGACTTAATTTAAGGTTATAATAATTAATTATTTTATTTTTAACTATCGGCAACGAAAAGACTTTCCAGGACAAGACAGTTGTGGTTTTATAAAGTCTAACTAACTGGAGTGGACATTAATGGTCCACGTGACACGGCTTAAGCGGGATCTATTCTAAACGGTAGTGCAATAGGTACACTCGTCAAAGCTACGTTTTATTGCTCCAGTGAAACAGAAACATTCCCAAATAGGCGTGCTTCGCCAGGTGTCCGCGCACATGTGATAAGAGGCGCTGCACCTCGTCGGGCAGAGTTATCTCCCATACCTGGTCCGTGGGTTCGAATCCCAGATTTCATATTTTCAGAAAGATGGTTATCGCCTACAACCCTCTATACCTAGGCTCATGTCCAATGTCAATAAAATCAGATCATTTACTCCGCTACCACCGCTCTGCATGAAGATCTGAGGACAAGCAAATCTGATATGTGTATGTCGTAAACGAACTAAAACGACGACTTCCGAAAGAAGAAAGGAGTACATCGGCGCCAATATTCTGACGTGGATATTTCATTCATTCTGTCCTTTCCGGGCGCCCCCCTTAGCATAAACACCCAAAATGGGGTACCAAGGAATGAGAGGTATTGTATCCGAGTATAAGATCTTGGTCTAATAAGAGATTGGATCACTGTTTAAAGCCCCAAGTCATTTATTCACCAGTGATGACCAACCTACACAATTTGGTTGCAAACATGATAACAGTTGAGATGCTAAGGAGGAACTATCGGTGGTGTAAGGGACATGCTCAGCTTAGGGCGGCTTATCGGTGGTGTAAGGGACATGCTCAGCTTAGGGTGGCTTATCGGTGGTGTAAGGGACATGTTCAGATTAGGGCGGCTTATCGGTGGTGTAAGGGACATGCTCAGCTTAGGGCGGCTTATCGGTGGTGTAAGGGACATGCTCAGCTTAGGGCGGCTTATAGGTGGTGTAAGTGACATGCTCAGCTTAGGGCGGCTTATCGGTGGTGTAAGGGACATGCTCAGCTTAGGGAGGCGTATCGATGGTGTAAGGGACATGCTCAGCTTAGGGTAACATATGCTCACCTCTGCAGGAACGGCCGTCTCCGACGAAGTCCTGGTTACACATACAGACGTAGTGGTCGACGTTCTGGACACAGGAGGCGTTGGGGTCGCAGAGACGTGGATCACGGTAGCAGTCTGGGATGTCATCTGAAACAGTCAGTGTGGTCCTGCGTTAGTTACACAGCATTATAGGTAAATAGCTGGGCTATATTCCTGAAGAGCAGAAGAATTATTCAAGCTCCTGTTATGTTCACTGAAAGTCTTTACATTACACTCGAACGTCAAAGAACGAGGACAAAATTTTCAAAACGATTTATATAAAGATGGAGATTCCGCGTCAGAATAGGTTCCCAGCTACCTATGCTGGTCGTAGTGGCGACTTAAAGGATTGGCCGGTCAGGCTCGATGACCTTGTCGATTGTGTGTCATCGTATCACAATTGCGTGGATAACATGATTGTCTGGATAATTGGATTGTCTGTCATCGTATAGCTGGATAATTGCTGAGTGTGGCGTCAACAAACAATCAAACCCTGCTATCAGAACCAACTTAACTGAGAAATGGCGGCCATATTGGATTTTCAGTTTCAGCGTCTTGAAGGCCCCTGAATAGGTACCCCGGATATTAGAGGGACTGGTGGGAAAAATTGTCTGTGTTTTAGAGTGAGTGAAACCATGTTGGCGTGGTTTACTTACCCCGTCGCGTGCAGGTGCGCCCGTCTCCCTGGTAGTCGGCCCGACACTGACAGCGGTAGGACCGGACATCCGGGTCGTAGATGCACTCGGCCTCCCTGGCGCAGTTGTTGACTTGGTTACAGGCTTGCACTAAACAAGGGAGCCAACTCGGATATTTTCGGCCATATTCGGGAGCCAACTCGGATATTTTCGGCCATATTTGGCAATATTTGTGTTAAAAGGCTGGATCTTGTTTCGTTTTTGGTTTTTTTAATTTATTTTTAGATCACAAAAACTGTTCTCAAATTTATGGATAACAACTTTTATCACCTTTATAGAGGAAACACATTCTTAATATCATATTTGATCATTCCTCTTCAGATACTTTACAGAAGTCAAGACATGCTGACCTCGTTGTATGCAGACCCTGCCGTCGCCCTCGTAGCCAGTGACGCACCGGCAGATGTTGCGGTTAGTGTCCCGGGGATCAGGCCCGCACCGCGCGTTACTGTCACAGTCGTCGTCACTACGACATCCCTCCAACACACAGCGACGACCGTCTCCTGCAATGTCCAATCAAGTACCCCGTGACTACAAGATGAGCGGTACTATTGGCAGTGAGAGCACATATTCACATACAGTCAACCTAGAGAACGACTGCGTGGCACAATCACAATCAGTTCGTCATATCCAATTAAATTTTTAAAAATGATTAATAACATCTAAAACCTCTTCAGGAAGATTAGAATCGGTTTCAATACAACTGCCTCTTCGCTGACCCAAAGTTGATAGAGCTGGGCCCCGTTCCCTAAAGCGATCTTAGCGCTAGGGTTTCGGAACTCCCATACTTTAATCTGGACTTACGGAAGCGCTAAGATCGTTTGGAGAACGGGCCCCTGGTCCCCAAAAAACATATGCTAGCCGTCAGAGGTGACTTCAATGGCTCTTGTGCATATGTTCAGGTGCCTGGTTGATCCATGTGGTATTCCGGGTTAGACTGGGTCTGAGTAGCCTATGCTTGTCATAAGAGGCCTCGAAATGGAATGGGTGGTTAGTGTCTTGATTGAGTGTGTGTGATCGTACCCTTGCTACCTGGGGCCTTGCCCGCAACTGTCTCCATTAAAAACATGCTTTCGGAATATTGCTGACTGCGGCGTGCAATAAAATGCACTCACTAAGTTTTCTGCATTTCCGACTTAAAATCAGTCACTGGATTGTCTGGTCCTCTATTATTTAGACAGTCGTCATATAGCTGAAAGATTGCTGAGTGCGTCGTTAACCAAAAAAAAAGAAAAAATTAATGAAAAAAAAAAGATACCTGTACACGAAATAGCACATGGAATGACTTCACAAAAGCATATCAATAACTATCGCAGCTATCGAACTATGGAAACTGTCACATACAGCGCTGCCATTAACAAATGCATAGATAATATACAAGAGCCTCTTTTTTATATCTATTATAAAAAAACATGAAGTGCATCTGTGCAGAATGCAGGTGTGTTGCCTGCGCTGACGTCACCCACCTCGGTAACCAGCGCTACATCTGCAGTAGTTGTTGCCGTAGTCGGGGTCTGTGACACACTCGGCGTTCGTGTCACAAACGGCGTGGGTTTTGCAGTCGTAGGCCTCGCAACGACGCCCATCTCCATAGAAACCCGCACGACACCGACATTGGTAGGCCTGGGTTGACTGGTCAAAGTCGCACTGGGCGTTAACGCTGCATTCCACGCATGGGTCTGTAGGAGCAGGATAGTTTCGTCATTAAGGCATGTTTATTACAATTACAAACAAACAAATGAATAAATGGATATTTGTAACAAGCTCTAGTCCATCCATTGATGCATGCTCAAAGCGCTACAATGTACCAATATTAATGTATGACAATTATATACAAAAGAAGAAGGGAAAGATGGATAGATGAAAAATATGGACACTGCTGAAACTAAGATGAATATTGTGTGTTTGTTGTTTTTTGTTTGTTGTTTGTTGTTTAACACCGCACATAACATTCCAGCGATGTGACGGCGGTCTGTAAATAATCGAGTCTGGACCAGACGATCCAGTGATTGACATCATGAGCAACGATCCGCGCAATTGGGATCGATGACATGCATCAACCAAGTCAGCAAGCCTGACCACCCGATCCCGTTAGTCGCCTTTAACGGCAAGCATGGTTTGCTGAAGACCTGTTCTACCCCGGATCTTCACGGGGATGATGAGCAAGAAAGCAGAAATAGATGAGTTTTGATGAAAGATCTAAAGGAGTCCAGGGATGGAACATTCCTTGAGAGAGTCGGTAGGCTGTTCCACAATGTAGGCGCGCAAGACCCAAAGATCTTTGACCAAACCTTTTCAGCTTGGTACAAGTGTTCAAAATGTGCTGGTTTTCAAATCTGAGGACAGGTTCAAAACTGGAGAGAAGTTCAGCAAGGTATGGCGGCGCATGACCATGCTGGCATCTGTATGTTAAGCACATGGTCTTAAATTGGCTCTTGGCACCTATTGGCAACCAATGCAGATGCTTACGCTTTGATGTTATGTGTGACAACTGGGATGTCATGGTCACTATTCTAGCGGCTGCTGTGATTTGGATTCTTTTAACAAATACTGCAACAATGTTTATTCCTTTATGGGTTTTTTTACAAAACAAATGATGAGCATGCTTAAGCTGGAAACACCAGGTACCTATGGTGGAGCATCTGAACCCATCACCGCTGTAACCGACGTTGCACTGACACCTGTACGTGAAGCGATCGACGTCCATGACGCAAGCGGCGTTACCGTCGCATCTCAGACACACACTCCCTGGAAACAGAAGGTTAATGTATTCTCAGAATCAGTATTTAAAATACCTCTCCATAAACGTTTGAATCTATCAAGACGCGCGTTTTACTACTTACATAGTTTACGATGAGCCTACCCAAAATTTAATCAATGTTAAAATTAAAATATAAAGGGTCTTTTTCACCTTTCATTTTTCAGTAATAAATAAATCAATTTGAATAACGTGCGGAACAAACGATTAATATTTCGTTTTGAAAAATAAATCTTTAAACTAGTTATGAGGAGTCGCTCACGTTCATCCGTCGTCTCGCAGGAGAAACCGTCCCCGCTGAAGCCATCCACGCACTCGCAGACGTAGCGGCTCTCGTCCTCGTCGTACACGCACTGAGCGTTGGAGCCGCAGTTGTCCACCTCGTTGCAGCCGAACTCTGACCGGGGAGACAAGGGAGGTAATAAGAGTCACGTCCCACTGAGTGACAGAGGTCATACAGTAATGTGTTTCCTTTCCATGGGGGAGACCTTGTGCAATTTCAAGACTACCCACCCCGGATCAAGTGTTACATGTCACTATAGCTTGAACAGCTCTTCAGAAAAATATAGTGTGAGTTAAAATGTAACGTCCTATCGACATTATTTCAGCTATATAGCGACGACATAGAAATAAAGGGACAGTTGGGTGGCCTCGTGGTTAAAACGTTTGCTCGTCACGCCGAAGCCTTGGGTTTGATTACCTACAAGGATACAATTTATAAAACACATTTCTGGTGTCCTCCGCCGTGATATTGCTGGAATATCGCTAAAAGCTGCATAAAACCATACTCACTCACTCACTCACTCACTCTACGAAACATAGCGGGTCCCATGTTGATAGATGTTGAATGAGTGAGTGAATATCACTTAACGCAGCATCAGCTATATTGCAGCTTCAGCGATGTTGAATCAAGAGTGATCAATCAAATAAATCAAATCGGAAATATAGGAATTAAACTTCTCCCAGGTATAATATTTTCACTTGTTCCTAAAAGTTGGTATTTTCATAAAAAGCAATTAACAAATCTCCAGGAGAGTAGTTTCAACGCTTGTTCCCGCCCATGGCCGGGACTTGCCTCCACCGAAGTATAGTTTGTTTGGAGCTGAATGAGCCGAAAGGTTCATAAAAATGACAAGTTGCTTCCCTTAACCTGATACGGTCTTTGTATATATTTTACAGCCGCTTCTACTAGTAAACTCACCTATTGGGTCGCAGTCGACTCCGTTTCCTGCAAAGCCGGTGTTACATTCACATACAGGTTGTTGTAGGGTGCTGTCATAGACGCAGCGGCCATTTTCCCCGCAATAAATATCACCACACAGCTGAACCTCAACTGCAATATTGACACATGAAACAGTACACAACAATGATTCAGCGAATGATTCAGGTTGAAAAACATAATACAATGACAGAGCGAAGCCAAAATACGAACGTTCACACCGTAGACATAACAAAAATCGGTCTTCTGATGACGAACCAAATGATAGGAACATTAAAGGTGACAATTTTACCATTCATCTTCATATGATAATATGAGAGAGTGAGTATGGTTTTACGCCGCTTTTAGCAATATTCCAGCAATATCACGGCGGGAGACACCAGTAATGGGCTGTGTATTTATGTCAGGAATCGAACCCGGGTCTTCGGCGTGCCGAGCGAACGCTTTAACCACTAGGCTACCCGACCGCCCCTATGGTAATAGACCCGTGAAGATCCGGGGTAGAATAGTTCTTCAGCAACCCATGCTTGCCGTAAAAGGCGACTATGCTTGTCGTAAGAGGCGACTATGCTCATGATATTAATCATTGGATTGTCTGGTCCAGACTCGATTATTTACAGACCGCCGTCATATAGCTTGAATATTGCTGAGTACGGCGTTAAACAACAAACAAACAACAACAACATTAAGCCTCAAGTAAGTAGAAGCTTTTGTCTTTGTTAGGTGGAGTGTAGTTACTGAACCTAACATTAAAAAACAGCAAAATGACGCAAACAGATTGATTTTGCTGATCAGTGGTTCGGAATGATCGAATCATAATCATGATCTTACAGCCAGTTTCCGTTTCAGTGCGGCGTTAAACAACAAACCAAACCAACCAAATATGGTAATATGATTATCAAAGGCTTATACCACTGTTAATTAACACGTTTAAAACTTGTCCAGCTGTCCGAGGCGTATATACACTCACTTTGACATGTACGACCGTCGCCCCTGAAGCCGGTCTGGCACTGACATTGGAAAGTGCCCCTGACGTTGAAGCAGCGAGCGTTGCTGTCGCAGGAGTGAGTTCCGGTTGAACATTCGTCGATATCTTCAAGGAGACAGAAACCATATATCAAATCTACTGTGTTTATCATCATCATCATCATTTATTGTATTCAGGCCATAGGCCCATATACATACAATAATATTATATTGATACAATTTTGTACAAGTATAAACATGCAGACTTATATATACAATTTTGTGAAAAATAAATCGCATCACAACACAACAAGAGGAGATTAAAGCATTTGATTAATAAAGGCAAATAACCTCAAGAATAATTAAACATCATTTGTACAAAGACGGTTGCGAAGTCGTAAACCATAATTAATGTATAGGATAGTATTCTTTTGTTGCTCGTTAGATATTTCATCAAAACGGAGGAGCTTGATTAGTGTATTGATGTTTTGGGGTAAACCTTGGAAATATTTTGTTCTGAGCGATTCATAACATGGACAGATAAGCATAAAATGGTATTCGTTTTCAATAAATGTGGGACAAAAAGGACAAAAACGCATATTTTTTTAAATTGAGGAAAAACGACCCGTATTACATACTAAATTGTTCAATTGTTCATTTATCAGAAAATGAAACCAATAGAAGTAAGAAACTCCCTTAGCGTTATTCTCCAAGCTTCACATATCACGTGTCACCTGCATTACTGTAGACAGTTAGTCCCAGAATTAAAGTTATTGATAAAATCTTATTTAAAAATACATTTGTGATATCTAAAACAAAATCCAAATGGATATAAGAACCAATGCTTAATTTCAGAAATGAGGCGATCCAGACTTGCCAAATTCTGTAATCCTTTTTTAAAAGTTTTCTCTAGGGTCTCGAGTAGGGCTGGGACGAGTCCAAATTTACTACCCGGGTACCCACACCCCTATTACCCGACCCTACCCGGGTAAGACGCTGTTGGTGCCAAAAGATAGTTACAAACTGTCCGATTGGGAATAGTTTGACAGTAGCTCTGACAGAATGTATTTAGATACACGTATAAAACGATGTTGTCATGCATACACTGAAGTTGACTGAAGTTTCAGCTTTGTTCAAAGAAATATAAGTCAGAAGGAACGTGTTCATAGTCATGTAGAAATGCGAAAACATTAGAGATTTAAAATTGCCGTGTAACCATGTAGTTATATTGTGAATTTTTGTCATGAAACAATATATCACGTGAGTAACCACGGGTCCGGGTTGTCCTGTGGGTACCCGGATCCTACTCAGTACCCACCCGACCCGAATACCCGAGTACCCGCGTACCCGAGTTACCCGTCCCAGCCCTACTCTGGAGACAGACTATCATTATTGGTATAGAGAGTTCAGTGAACGAGGCATCCGTGTGAGGAGCTCACCTTCGCAGGTCCCGCCATCTCCGCTGTAGCCTTGCCTGCAGACACACCGGTAGGTCTCGCCCTCGGGGATGCAGTCAGCCTCGGCAGCACAGTTCTGGGCTGCGTCACGGCACGGGTCCGAACCTATAGGTAATTCATATCGTAATGCACACAATTCTACGAAACTTGTTTACTTGTTCACTTGACACCTGAGAATCGTACAAATATATATCGAGCAATCCGTAGTTCGAGATTAAGCCAAAGTGTCAGTGTGTATTCTACCGGGATCCATATTTAAGTAAGAGGACATGCTAAAATGTGCACTACTACACAAACCAACGTATATGAGGGATATCAAATGTGACTCAAATTTGATGGGGCTGTCTGTTAGCCGAGCCTAGTCTCCCTTTAAGCGATATATGAGATGGCCCGAGGCCCCCGAACGACAATCTGGACACTACGTTGTACACAATAAGGGATTTAAGGCATCATCTGTCGCGTATCAGTATCAATATCAATATCAACCGCAGTATTAACTTCAGTATCCGTATAACCATCAGTATCAGCATCAATATCAATATCAACCACAGTATTAACTTCTGTATCCGTATAACCATCAGTATTAGCATCAATATTAGTATCAATATTAGTATCAATATTAGTTTCAATATAAATATCAGTATCAGTATCAACACTAGCATCAATATCGATATCAGTATCAATTTCAGTATCAGTATCAACACTAGCATCAATATCGATATCAGTATTAATATCAGTATCAATATCGATATCAACATCAGTATCAATATCAATATCAGCATCAACATCAGTAACAATATAAGTATCAATATCAGTATCAACATCAGTATCAATGTCGATATCAGTATCATATCAGTATCAACACCAGTATCAATATCTATATCAGTATCAACACCAGTATCAATATCGACATTAGTATCAATGTCAATATCAATACCAGTATCAATATCGATATCAGTATCAACACCAGTATCAATATTGATATAGTATCAATGTCAGTATCAATACCAGTTTCTGCATCGATATTAGTATCAATGCCAGTATCAATATCGATATTAGTATCAATGTCATTATAAACATCATTATCAAAACCAGTATCAATGTCGATATTAGTATCAATGTCGGTATCAACACCAGTATCAATATCGATATCGATATTAGTATCAATGTCAGTATCGATATCAGTATCAATATCAGTCGGAACACCAGTAACAATGTCAGTATCAACTCCAGTATCAATATCGATATAAATATCAGTATCAACACCAGTATCAATACCAGAAGGAAGGCATACCTGTCAGCATCCCAACTTTGTTGGACTGGGCGAACCTCACCACCTGGTTGCCGCTGTCGAAGAAGACGAAGTTCCTGCCCACGGAGAGTCGGACTGTCCCGACTGCCAGCACATCTGGGTCTGCTGTGCACTCGGCGAACATGATGGTCTGGTCCCAGGTGTAACGGTAGGCGACGTCGTTGATCCTAAAAGTGCGACTCGACCGTGCCTTGATCAGCCCTGGAAGACAAACAGGGCAGTACAGCATGGAGATTCGCCCAAACACTGATCACCTGGGAGGAGATCAGGCCCAAAACATCGCAGTGCACAGACCTACATCACCAGCATGGGCATATCTGGCTCAGACCTGTGTCTAGACACCTTGAACAATTCTCCCGGTGGTCAACGAGTAAAGTTTGACGATAAGGTTTATTTCCTAATACAAGAGATTAACACAATCCACAGACGGTATAAGTGAGTGACCACGTGAAATGTAACAACTCTGCAGCCAGAGAGGATGCCGGAGGAAACACAACATGAACATTTACTTTGCATGGATGTAATCCGTTGACCAAGGTCGTTAAACTCGAGTACAAGGAGACCACCAACTAACATCAAGTACACTTACTGTGACCAGCTGAAAAAAGTTGCCATAATTGTGGCAACTCCTGCCACTCTAATCATAAGCCTTGGTAAACTTTACAAATAAGGTCTTCTTCACGTCACTGGAGAAATGCCTATTTCTTGGACCAAGCCTGCTGTAGTGTTAAAAACATGTTTTCATTTTAGCTTCTATTCTGTAATGGCCATTCTTTCCGTTTTGATCTTTTACACAATACAGCACTGACAATGTTAGACATTAAAATGGTTAGTGGAGAAGAACACGTTGATGATAAGAACATTGAACAGAGAACAAGAAAAATGACTGAAAAGGGTTTGGCTCATGCAAAGGAAAGAACAAATAATACAATGGACAGTGTTTATAGGCAGCTTTTGGGGCATTATGATCAAATTAAAACGGAAACAGCAGCTAATTCTCTGACGAAAGACATGGTTGAACAGACACGTGTCAAGTATGCAATATGGCTTAAACTATATGGTGGTCTGTTTGAAGCTCGTGGTGATTACTCTAGTCAGTTAACTGCATCTGAATGTTTTGACTTTGAAGACGAATGTAGGTCACAGGATGTTACCTTAATGGCTAGAAGTCTAAGTTTGAACATTTATTCATGGTGCATGGCTCTGTACAACGAGATATTGATAGTGCTAGCAAGACAAGTGTTATTTCATCAAAGACGAGGTCTGTAGGCCCTCAAGGCACACGTTCACACTGTCAAGTGTGTCATCTGCCCAACTATGGGCTATGCAGACACAGGTTGAGTTACAGGCCAAAGTAAACGCACTTAAAGAGAAGCAGAAGCTGGATGTAGAGAAGCAGAAACTTGACATGGCAAAATGAGACTTGAAGATGAAGGAAGAGGAACTGGAACTAAAGACTCATATGGAAATATTCGAGGCAAAGTGTAGAGTTCTTCGGTAATTTAACTATGATCAGTTTGAATTTGGCAGTGATTCTGAGGAACGACTATCCCAACAGCTCAGTGACACTAACTTACTTTACATTTCAACAGAAAAGGATCGATCTGCTGGAATGACAGCAGGAGAGTCACAAGATAATAAGCAGCCTGGTGAGAAGATGCAAACCTTTCCTAAGCCAGAATACAGCTGTATTGATGGTCAAGCTAATGCTGTGGTACAGCAGCTACGTACACCTCCACCTGACATTCAAAGGTTATCTGCAGATCCAATTGAGTACCAGATACTAAAGAGACAATTCCAGATAAAAATTGTAGATAATTTTGATTTAGTTGATGAGAAGATGAGCTACTTGAAACAATTTACCACTGGGGAAGCTCTCAAAATTGTTAAGGGAGCTAGTTATTTGGAGGCAAGGAGAGGTCATAGAGCAACTTGGAAGGAGTTGGAAGAACGGTATGCCAATGAGGAGGTTGTGGCTTCTGCTTGAAACGTGCTCTCAGTGGGCCTCAAATCAAGATAAGACAGTCCAAGATCTGTTGATGAGTATGCTATCCTCTTACAAGACTGTTTTAATGCTGTGAGTACAATCACAGCTGTCAAAATCCTTGAATATCCTGATAATCTGAGGAAGTTAGTCATGACATTGCCCTATTTCTACCATGAAAAGTGGAGAAATCTTGTCCTCCAAGTTCGAGATTCTGGAAGATTGGTTGATTTTCAGGACCTTGTCGACTTTGTCAATCGTGAGGCTAAGAAAGCTGTAGACTCCATGTTTGGAAAAGATGCCTTGAAACTGAAGAAAATAGTTTTCTGCGTTCGAGGGCCTGTGTCAGGAATGTGAGCAGGTTTTTCCATCAGAAGAAAGAGCGAAAGATGTGAAACAGCTGAACCTTGACTGTGAAAGTCTCCCAAGTGAAAGAGCCTTGGGAGTGTTTGGGTTTGTAGAATCTGACACACTTCGATTCTAAATCCAAAGTAACCCTAAACCAAACACGGAACGAGGTATCCTATCCATTGTTAGTAGCATATATAACCCTGTTGGCTTCAAAGCATCATGTGTTCTCCAAGCCAAGCAGTATATGCAGTGCCTTCAGATGAAACAATATGGATGGGATCAAGAAATAGAAGCTGTTTCACAAAGAAAGTGGCAACAGTGGCAACAGAACTTACCTAGACTTGAGGAATTTCAGACTCCACGATCTTATAAGCCAAAAGAAATTGGAAAGGTTTATCATACCAGCTACATCTTTTCTCCGATGCCAGTGATATTGGCTATAGAGTAGTAGCTTATCTCCGTCTCTTAAATGAACGTAATGTGGTGCATTGCGTCTTGGTTATGGCAAAGTCTAGAGTTGCCCCATTGAAGAAGATAACCATACCGAGAACTTACAGCCGCTGCACTTGATGTACGACTGTCTGGAGTGATCACTCAAGAGCTTCAGTACCGCTTAAGTGACACCATATTTTGGACAGACAGTACGTCCGTCTTGAGATACATCGCACACACCAAACTTTTGTGGCCAACCGCATTGCTTATTGTTGTAAATATTTGCAATCAAAGGCAGATGAACTTTTCTTTCGAAGCTTTCTGTGTCAGTCTGAAATCCATTGGCCTCAACTGGAAACCATGCCAGTACTTCAGATCCGGAAGTGAAACAGTCTGTGAGCTTGCTATGCTACAGTACATTCAGACAATGACATTTACGACAGATTAGTAAACCACTAACAGTGGTAAACAAAGTTATGCAGGCCTTAGATGTGTACCACTGTGGCAAAACCCACGAGGATGGATGTGGGTCTGACAAACCTAGAAACATAATTCGAACCCATGTTTCGGGCACGTCTCATGGAGAAAACTCAAATACGCGAGTGACATGAACGGGATTACACCAGCTGTTACCTGGACGGAGCTTCTTGAAGTTCTCCTTATGGTCGTCTACGACCACCTTGGCGCCCGTCTCTATCGGCGGCATGTCGCCATTCAGGGTGGTCTCCATGCGCAGGTTGTTGAGAGCGTCGTGGCCGAAGAACTTTTGTTGGACGTTGACGACGTAAGTCATGTTGCCGAACAAGAACGTCACGGTCGCAGTCCTGTTGAACTCTCCGCCTGAAACATAAGAATCACAGTTAATTTAGCCATTTGAAATTACTTTGTTTGTTTGTTGTTTAGCGCCGCACTCAGCAATATACCAGCTACATGACGGCGGTCTGTACATAATCAAGTCTGGAGCAGGCAACCCAATGGCTGACACCATGAGCATCGATCCACGCCTTTGAGATGATCTCAAAGTGATGTGGGGCGGTCGAGTAACCTAGTGGTTAAAGCGTTCGCTCGTTACGCCGAAGACCCGGATTCGATTCCCGACATAGTTGCAATGTGTGAAGCCCATTTGTGGTCTCCCCCGCTGTGATATTGCTGGAATATTGCTAAATGCGGCGTAAAACCTCACTCACTCACTCACTCAAAGTGATGCACGTCTTCGACGTGCACAACTTTGGTGAAACCCACGAAGACGGATATGGTGCTGGACAAACGCTTAGTAGAATTAAAAAAGAGCCACAGTGAGATCGGACATTCAGAGCCTATGGGAAATCTATACTTAAATTTAGGGCTATATCAGTTCAGTAAGGGCTGGACGGAAGGGAACATAATATGGTTGAGCGACTGTGCGACAGACTAGCATGGTGCTGACCTGGAAGCTGCCTGAATCTACGAAAACACGTTTCTATACCTCAAGAGTATCACGGGGTTTTTGACCGTGTAATTAGCGTAAACATTAACTGTTATGATAACGGCCTTCAACGACATCAGTAAAACTTGCTTGGACTTCCAATCGGCCTGAGCCCATCTTCCCCAGACAAGGGACTGACAATAAAAGTTCAGTTTCCACCATTGCCGAAATAGGCTGGAATTATATTTTGGCTGGACTAACGAGTCTATGCATAGTCCAATCAAAAGCGCGTAACGACACCGACATCCGGTTCGTAAACTGCCGTGCAAATTTCGACTAATTGCAGGATTTGTAAAGCATGTGTACCGCCAACTCGGCGGCAACAGATATTTTCTAAATCTGTTCATGTTGTTAATCAAGGTGCTCACGTGATTTGGTGCAATTTGAGAAGTAAGACTCGTTAAATTACATTACAGATTTGGATTATCGATTTGATCGTCTTGACTGGGAGCCGCCATTTTGTTTGAAGCAAATGCAAGAGTTGATTGGTCAATAGGAGGGACAAAGAAGGGACATAACTCATAACAGCCACTGGTGGCTCAAGCCTGGAAATTCCAGCCCAGTTGGGCGAGGGTGGAAACTGTACTTTGTTCAGTCAGTCCCTTGACTCGGGAAGATGGCCTGAGCCTTGTTGTATATAACTTTCAGGTTTGAAGATGAATTTCTTTAATAATACCATCTTTAGAATGCCATCCAGATACGCCTACCTGTGAACGCATATCCATTCTTGGCCCGGGGGTTCGTTGGCACGGCGAACATCCATCCGATGATGCCGCCAATGGCACTGAGAGTCTGCATGGCGGTACCAAGCTCTGGGGGTACCCTGCTGATGGCGGAGTAAGCGCGACCGTCGGACGTCACTACGTAAGTGTGCATGTCAAGGTCATACAAGGTTATGCCGTTCAATGTACCGCGAACCTTTCCGTTGAGACGTTGTGGGACACCTGAGGATAGATCAAAATAGTCTTATGAGACAGTTCAATACTCAATCCTCATTCATTGAACATAATGACACCATTCATTCATTCATTCATTCATTCATTCATTCATTCATTCACTCACTCACTCACTCACTCACTCGCTATGAGAGTTTGGTTTAGAGCCTGTGCTATAAGTTATATCTCAAGGCTAAATAGAATATTAGTATATTCGAAATCTTAACGAACTCCACTTTTGCCATTTTCACAATTTATTCATCATATAAATGTTTTATTGCTAACACCTGGTTCTAGGCATGTTTTTCCGTTTCCGTAAGACGGCGGCAAACACTCGCAGCAGAACCCCTCAGTGAAGTCCACACAGCGCGCGTTTACATGACACATCCGAGTCCCCTCCAGGCAGCTTCCGTCGCCGGTATCCACGGGGAACACAATCACTGCAACATACCCTCACAAAGGTCACACTCGCCATCTCTAACATATGACGTTACAAAATAAACGTCAACGTCAGTGTGTTGAAAGCTGAGTTTATGTTGACATATACAATGCTACTTTCGCTGTTGTCATTAATTTACCTCTTCTCGTTAAATGCGCTCTCGTTATGCACTTGAGTGGGAAAAAACGTTGATGTTACAAATAGAAGCACTTTATCTTTACAAGAAAACTAAATCAAGATTGTGTTCAAGGCTCAGCGAGTACACTTTAGATGGTTGTCAAAGAAATCCTCATGATTCTTCTTTAGCTTGATGGAGATATTTGAGATAGGCTATCGGTTTGACGTGCAGCGCGTGCCCCCAAAAATATATCAAGGTGCCGTTGTTCAAAACAACCTTAGTGCTACGACTGTCGATAGTCTGTGTTAATGTATGGGAGTTACGATCACGTTAACACCAAGATCGCTTTGTGCAACGGCATCCAGGTCTGTTTTAACAGCACAAATCCCAAGAGAGAGAAACATCTTCAAGCCTGCACTGGCTCCTGCTTAATATTTAAAGGGGTTATTCAGGACAAGTATTCGGTAGAGAGTCGTCACAGCCTCTAATGGACATGTCTGAACATGCGGGTGTGAGCAGAGCACCTGGTCTGAACCCGGACCACGTGACGCTATGCATGCATGGTAACAGGAGTATTATGGGGGACATATACAGTATCTATCATGATTAGCGGTTTATCATATTCGTTTAGGTTCATGTCTTGCATTATATTTTGTGATACCTACCAGAGATATCTGGTACGTGTCTGCAAAGAGGTACCCATCACAGGAAAATTTAGTTTTATCTCAAATTAATTAACCGCTAATTTGTAATAACAAATCACGAATCACATTTAAATATATACTGACGGTTCAAGAAGCGCCCCAGATAAGTCTTGATCATGTCAACTGAAGGCTCGGGCTCTTTACAGATCTCTGTTTGGTGTTGCCCAAATAAGTCTAGATCTTGTCAACTGAAGGCTCGGGCTCTTTACAGGTCTCTGTTTGGTGTTCCCCAAATAAGTCTAGATCATGTCTCCTAAAGGCTCGGGCTCTTTACAGATCTCTGTTTGGTGTTCCCCAAATAAGTCTAGATCATGTCTACTGAAGGCTCGGGCTCTTTACAGATCTCTGTTTGGTGTTCCCCAAATAAGTTTAAATCATGTCTCCAAAAGGATCGGGCTCTTTACAGATCTCTGTTTGTTGTTCCCCAAATAAGTCCAGATCGTGTCTATTGAAGGCTCGGGCTCTTTACAGATCTCTGTTTGGTGTTCCCCAAATAAGTCTAGATCATGTCTCCTAAAGGATCGGGCTCTTTACAGATCTCCGTTTGGTGTTCCCCAAATAAGTCTAAATCATGTCTCCTAAAGGATCGGGCTCTTTACAGATCTCTGTTTGGTGTTCCCCAAATAAGTCTAGATCATGTCTCCTAAAGGCTCGGGCTCTTTACAGATCTCTGTTTGGTGTTCCCCAAATAAGTCTAGATCACGTCTCCTAAAGGCTCGGGCTCTTTACAGATCTCTGTTTGGTGTTCCCCAAATAAGTCTAGATCATGTCTCCTAAAGGCTCGGGCTCTTTACAGATCTCTGTGTGGTGTTCCCCAAATAAGTCTAAATCATGTCTCCTAAAGGATCGGGCTCTTTACAGATCTCTGTTTGGTGTCCCCCAAATAAGTCTAGATCATGTCTCCTAAAGGATCGGGCTCTTTACAGATCTCTGTTTGGTGTCCCCCAAATATGTCTAGATCATGTCAACTGAAGGCTCGGGCTCTTTACAGATCTCTGTTTGGTGTTCCCCAAACAAGTCTAAATCATGTCTCCTAAAGGATCGGGCTCTTTACAGATCTCTGTTTGGTGTTCCCCAAATAAGTCTAGATCGTGTCTACTGAAGGCTCGGGCTCTTTACAGATCTCTGTTCGGTGTTCCCCAAATAAGTCTAAATCATGTCTCCTAAAGGATCGGGCTCTTTACAGATCTCTGTTTGGTGTCCCCCAAATAAGTCTAGATCATGTCTCCTAAAGGATCGGGCTCTTTACAGATCTCTGTTTGGTGTCCCCCAAATATGTCTAGATCATGTCAACTGAAGGCTCGGGCTCTTTACAGATCTCTGTTTGGTGTTCCCCAAACAAGTCTAAATCATGTCTCCTAAAGGATCGGGCTCTTTACAGATCTCTGTTTGGTGTTCCCCAAATAAGTCTAGATCGTGTCTACTGAAGGCTCGGGCTCTTTACAGATCTCTGTTCGGTGTTCCCCAAATATGTCTAGATCGTGTCAACTGAAGGCTCGGGCTCTTTACAGATCTCTGTTTAGTGTTGCCCAAATAAGTCTAAATCATGTCTCCTAAAGGATTGGGCTCTTTACAGATCTCTGTTTGATGTTCCCCAAATATGTCTAGATCATGTCAACTGAAGGCTCGGGCTCTTTACAGATCTCTGTTTGGTGTTCCCCAAATAAGTCTAGATCATGTCTACTGAAGGCTCGGGCTCTTTACAGATCTCTGTTTAGTGTTCCCCAAATAAGTCTAGATCATGTCTACTGAAGGCTCGGGCTCTTTACAGATCTCTGTTTGGTGTTCCCCAAATAAGTCTAAATCATGTCTACTGACGGCTCGGGCTCTTTACAGATCTCTGTTTGGTGTTCCCCAAATAAGTCTAGATCATGTCTACTGAAGGCTCGGGCTCTTTACAGATCTCTGTTTGGTGTTCCCCAAATAAGTCTAAATCATGTCTCCTAAAGGATCGGGCTCTTTACAGATCTCTGTTCGGTGTTCCCCAAATAAGTCTAGATCATGTCTACTGAAGGCTCGGGCTCTTTACAGGTCTCTGTTCGGTGTTCCCCAAATAAGTCTAGATCATGTCTACTGAAGGCTCGGGCTCTTTACAGGTCTCTGTTCGGTGTTCCCCAAATAAGTCTAGATCATGTCTACTGAAGGCTCGGGCTCTTTACAGATCTCTGTTTAGTGTTCAAGAAGTGATCCAAATAAGTTAGATCGTGGCTACTCGGGCTCTTTACGGATCTGTTTGGTGTTTGTTTAACAGATACGATGTTATTCCTACCTTCTCCGGTGTTGAGGTCAGCGGGTTGGATGTTCTCCCCTTCTATGTAGCCGATATGGAACATCCACGCTCCGGGGATGTTGACGTTGGTGTCGCTGCAGAAGAGGTAGAAGTAAATTAAGACAATTCGTAGACATATTAGTATGTATGCGAATGCAACCATGTGGTTTCAACATTAAATAAGCAATGTCAACTTACATTTTGTATTCATGTTGAGGATCAAACCAAGGTATTCTGTGACGCGAACTGATATAATACCTATTTTCAGCTGACTGGTTACCCACAGCCATATGGCAAATGACATAATCTGATTACTTGGTTTGTTTGTTTGTTTGTTTGTTGTTTAACACCGCACTCAGCAATATTCCCACTAAATGACTGCGGTCTGCAAATAAGTCTAGACCAGACCATCCAGTGATTGATACCATGAGTATTGATCCACGGTGTTGGGATCGATGACATGCTTCAACCAAGTCAGCGAGCCTGACCACCCGATCCCGTTAGTCGCCTATTACGACAAGCATAGTCTCCTTTTACGGCAAGCATGGGTTGCTGAAGACCTATTCTACCCTGGATCTTCACGTGTATCTGATTACTAGTGTGTGGTATAACAAACTGTTACGTATGATACGTTCAGAAGCAGGACGCGGTGCAGATTTGCGTCCCTTGGGCACACCAGAAACCTGTGGTTTCGAATCCTAGTTTACTCCGATTATGTTTCTAGGTTTGTGAGCACCAACCCGTACTTCTGTGTTTCACCGAAGTGGTAAACGTCTATGACCTGCATCACTTCGGGTTTTCCTCCCACCACGTCGTGATATAACTGGAATACTGTTAAAAGCGGCGTTAAACTCACTCATTCACTCAGTAGCAGCAGCGAAAACAGCCACAATAAGACATAAGCTACACGACAGAGTGGTAACGTGGTGTGCGTCACCCCGATTGTATTAATGTCGTAATTATATTAAGATGGGGTCCATCAGTCATGGAACCCGTGGAGATCCGGGTTAGAATTGGTCTTTAGCAACCCTGCTTGTCATAAGAGGCGACTAACGGTATTGGTTGATGCATGTACCCCAACTGAGTAGATCGGTGCTCATGATGTCAATCACTGGATTGTCTGATGGAATATTACTGAGTATGACGTTAAACAACAAACAAAACATATCATCAGTCATGGTGTATCTGCTAACGCTCTGGAATCATACGTATGTCCACTATGGTCAAGGAGGCGGTCAGTTGACAAATACCATGTAATGATAGTATATCACTCACTTGACAAAGGAAGACGTTGTACCAGAGTTCGGCAGTTTTAGGTTTCTTCCATCTTCAACTTCGAACCCAGCTTGAGCAGGGACGTCGAGCTGGCTCTGCCCCTCCTTCCCGTCCCCCATAATCCACGCCATTCCGCGGTCAAGATAGTGGAAGAACGCGAACGAGTCATCGTTGTCTGAAGCTATGACAATCTGGAACGTGTTCACCTGCACGCAGAAAGGGAATGTACAGTGTCGCATGGCAAAACGAAATAAATTTAATGTTCAACGAATCTCGGGAACCTATTTGAACTATTTTTGCGACGATGTGTAGTGTTTCCTGGTCTTCTAGACTAACTTATAGCGTCCGAAGTGAAAACATTTTAAGATTTATTCATAGGTTAAAATGTCTTCTTTTTATGATAGGATTGAAAACAAAGAATATGTTAATTTCTCAGAAAACTGAAAAATATCTAGAGATTTTTGTTTCAGGATGTGTTTGAGAGACTCAAACAACAAAAAAGGACAACAAAATGACAAAGAAAAAGGTGAACAGTTCTCAACCCAAAATGAAAGTGTATGTAACACACGTACATTAACATCGAGAATTATCTGGTCCAGACTTGATTATTTACAGACCGCCGTCATGTAGCTGGAATATTGCTGAGTGCGGCGTTAAACAACAAATAAACAAACAAACATCGAGAAATAAAGACCATCTCCTCATGTAAATAAATTCATAATTTGTTGCACATTAATATTTAACTTTTCCTTAATTTCAAAGCTTCATTTCAACATTTGAATCTCAAACACTGACACGTGCCTGTATGTCAATGAACCTGTTTTATATCCCGAATGGCCTGAAAACATGAGTGATGGACGTCAGCTGTGGCCAGTTCAACCAGATCGTGTTTTCTCGTTAATCTGGTTATAGTGTATAGTCTACATGTTTGTTGGAATCCATCAACCTACCTTGTCGAACTTGCTGTTGAAGTAGCCGACGTTGTCCCACGTTGCTATGAACAACGACGTTGGTTCAAATGTGCCTTGTCCCCGGAAGTGCGCTTGAATGGAGGTGGCGGCTCTCTCTAGTAATGTTGGGTTGCTTGTTTCCCTGAAACCGAGATCAAACCATTTCCAGATCTCAATTCTGACATTCTCTAATTTCATGCACTTACGCTGTAATAAAACCCATGTCACGGAAATCTTACTTAAACCTGAATAAGAGAGTGAGTGAGTGAGTTGGGTTTTACGGCGCTTTTAGCACTATTCCAACAATATCAGGGCGAGGGTACCATGCGCTTCACACATTGTACCCATGTTGGGAATCGAACCCGGGATTTCGGCGTGATGAGCGAACGCTTTAACCACTAAGCTACCCCACCTTCCGTAGGATAAGAAATAGGGACGAGTATCAATGTAATCATTGTCCCCAATTAACAAAACGATATTAGTCCGACGAAATGAGCCAGCTTTAAATCCATATACCATCATGTAATGGGGTAGCGCTAAAAGTGAGTGAGAGTGTTGGGTTTAATTTATGTAACGATGTAAGAGAGCCAAAATGATGCATATCGTAAATATCATCCATATAGTGAAACCCACGAGCAAGGGTATAGGGCTGATAGACCAAGGATCATACTCGGGCCAAGATTGGATTCGAACACACGATCAGCGGATCCTTAATGGCTAACATCTGTAAAGCCAATTATAGCGCCTAACCCCACTATTCAGTTCGAAGTCATCTCTCGTAGCGGTAAGATAAGTTCTTGTCGATCGGGGGCGTGATTCGTTCACCGAAGCGCAGCAGAGATTACGCTAACGACCCCCTACCCCTCAACACACACACACCCAAAACAAGATGACTTTTAACACAGCAGTTCGTTCCTGCAAACACATTGTAAATGAGACACAGCTTCAGCAACCCATGCTTGTTGTAAGAGGCGACTAACGGGATCCGGTGGTCAGGCTCGCTGACTTGGTTGATGCATGTCATCGTATCCCAATTGCGTGGATCGATGTTCATGATATCAATCACTGGATTGTCTGGACCAGACTCGATTATTTACAGACCGCCGTTATAGAGCTGAAATATTGCTGAAAGTGCGGCGTTAAACAACAAACAAACAGACAAACAACAAGGGTGGATACAAGATGTGCTGATGCAGCAGTATTCACCTTGTTGTATTCACCTGTATTCACCTTGCACTTTTACCCAATTTACCTATAAAATATTTGTCCTGCTGCTCTCGTATCGACATCGGCGAAGAAGGCAGCAATTACATTAAATCCTATAGGGAGTATAAGGCTCGGCCTGTACCCTGGCAGCTCCGTGAGAAATGATAAATGGCCGTTGCTATTTATCTGAAACATAAGAACGTTGTTTAGCTAAAAAAAATAAACACTGGTGCGTTTTTATATCATGTTGGGATTTGAATCTGAGACGCTGTCGAAATGTTGCTTAAAACACCTGGTCCATGCCAAACGCTCCATTTTCACTACAGTAAGCGAGTATTAATATATGCCCTGGTCCCCAGAGTCGTTCAGGTCGTGGGGGGCACGGGTGGCCCAGTCGTCTAAGGCGCCGCGATTCGCTGTGCAGAGTTGCGTCCCTTGGGCACGCCAGAAACCTATGATTGTGGGTTTGAATCCCGGTTCGCCCCGATTATGTTTCTAGGTTTGTCAGCACCATACCCGTGCTCGTGGGTTTCACCGAAGTGGTTAACGTCTGAGACCTGCATCACTTCGGGCTTTCCTCACACATTAAGCTGACACGCCGTGATATAACTGGAATAATGTTAAAAGCGGCGTTAAACCCAACTCACTCACTCGTTCAGGTCACCGTGAACTTGAAATAAGATTGTGACGGGTTAATCCCACTTGGGCACCATGCTCTGTAAACAGTAAATAAATGCTTGCCCGAACACACAAAACATCGATAAGCCGGAGCTAAAACGTCGCAAGATATATTTGTTTTATGAAATATGTATGTATGAATCAATATTATGGCTGAATTCATTGATAGGTTTCTCGGCGAGGTGTTCTTAGCTCAAATAGATCTCATTTAATCTACAGATGTGATAATTTACATCAATGCAGCTTATTATTTCTCGGACAGACTGTTATCTAAATCCCTTTACATGAAAATTATTTAAATCCCTCCACATGAAATGTTCCAGGATTTGAATTCAAGTTTCCTTGAGCGTAGCTGAGGATAGCCGAGCAGAGGTAACAACAACCTCCAAAGAGTCCCCGATCGTAACCGAAGATGGCCGAGCCATGCAAAACCGAGTTAACAACAACCTGCAAGGAGCCCCCGATTGTAACCGAAGATGGCCGAGACATGCAAAACCGAGTTAACAACAACCTGCTTGGTGTCCCCGACTTAAGGGAAGATAACAAAATAGAGACCTGAGCAGACTGTTACAATGGTTACCGAAGATGACCGAGCCTGTAATACGAGACCACAACCTGACCGGTGACCTCGCCACAATGTTCCCGTCAGGGTGATAAGCCTTCTATAGATATTGTGTTTACACTCCACCGATATTCAGAACAATCCAGGTTTCACGCATCAGGTTTAACGTGATGAAATGCAGCATGGTGTGGACTTTGTAATTATTATATCTAGCTGCGTCATGGATAACTTCCACAGCTGTTGGATGTTTCATAATAATTCAACCAACTGATAAAAAAATATCTTCTAGAATTCACAATTGCCAATCTTAGACATTTATTGCATATATTGATAATTTTACAGTTTTAATCCTTGATTAATTATATAACCTGAATTGTACAAACATTGCCAAAAATATATTTCTTTGTGACCATTGCAAGACCTGTCAAACCAAGCACAATATCAGATAATGTCCATATCTGGAATTAAGTATTTCCTCAAACATGGAAAGGAGATGATTTGTCAATAATGCTTTGTTGAAATAAGAATCTCAATTATTGCCACGTTACATTAACTTTCATACGATATTAATGTATCATGCCCTTAAAAATTAGCATCATTGTATCCGGAATATCGCACCATCAAAGTAAATAAGTTTGACTAATTGTAAATATGTAATTATTATATTGTACTGTGTCATTGAAATAATCTCGAGGAAATGAAGAATTTCTCTCTGGCGAGGTTGAAAAGTCCTTTGCCAACGGAGCCATTATGATTGGGTTCCATGAAAAGTACAGATAGGTTGTATCGAACCCAGACTTCGGATTGAATGGCGAGTGCACTGTCCACAGGACCAATACGCTGGGAGAGTGATGGGTTAATGTGTTGACGGCACTCTGTAAAATACACGCCAAGGTGCCATTGTACAAAAAAAGCCTTAACGCTATTGGAGTAACGATCACCTTAGCCATAAGGTCGCTTTGTACAAAGATACCCAAGTCGCCAAGCCTGACCACCCGATTCATGACAGGGGACACGGGTGGTCCAGTCGTCTAAGGCGCCGCGATTCGCTGTGCAGAGTTGCGTCCCTTGGGCACGCCAGAAACCTATGATTGTGGGTTCGAATCCCGGTTCGCCCCGATTATGTTTCTAGGTTTGTCAGCACCATACCCGTGCTCGTGGGTTTCACCGAAGTGGTAAACGTCTGAGACTCGCATCACTTCGGGCTTTCCTCCCACATTAAGCTGACACGCCGCGATATAACTGGAATAATGTTAAAAGCGGCGTTAGACCTAACTCACTCACTCACTCACGATTCATGACAAGCCTCTTACAACAAGCATAGGCAACTGGGAACCTGTTCAGTACTCGTATGTGAGCAGCGTACCCGTGAAGATCCGGGGGGAAATTGGTCTTCAGCAACCCATGCTTGTCCCAAGACGAGAGGTGACGAATGCAAATCTGGGAGAGGATTTTGATATTTTGGACCCCTCCCTTTAGCTTTAGGCTAATGGTTGTTAATATACAAAAAAAATCGGAAGTATTTGAGGGAAAATATTAGACTGAGAATATAACAGGGACTTGAGTGAGGGAGTGGGGCCTAGCGGGCGGAACGATGTTACACACCCATCTCTGCAGTGACAGAACACACAATAGGAATGACACGGCTTGTGTCAATGGCACTAAAGTACTGAAGCTGAAGTGAGTGAGTGAGTTGGGTTTAACGCCGCTTTTAACAGTATTCCAGTTATATCACGGCGTGTCAGCCTAAAGTGGGAGGAAAGCCCGAGGTGACACAGGTGTCAGACGTTTACCACTTCGGTGAAACCCACGAGCACGGGTATGGTGCTGACAAACCTAGAAACATAATCTGGGAGAACCGGGATTCGAACCCACAATCATAGGTTTCTGGCGTGCCCAAGAAACGCAACTCTGCACAGCGAATCTCGGCGCCTTAGACGACTGGGCCACCCGTGCCCACAATGAAGCTGAAGAGAAGACAACAGTCAAGAGGGCCTCTTTAAAACAGCTCACGGAAATCGTGATTACAACTTACACGCCCCACGTGTATTTTTGATGCCCCGCATAGCTGTTAATCGAGAGATAATCGTACAGGACGTTTTACTGCAGGATATTCCTGCCTCGCCCATTGATGAGGCGAGTACCCGGGTGTAATAAACATTCTGCTGCGCCCATCAGTCTGGAGTGTCTGGACGTGGCGGCTGAGACAGGGGATGTCACTGTCACTCTTACTCAGCAGGATGTTTATTACACCCGGGTACTAGCCTCATCAATGTGTCGTTGCCAGCACAGTTTATACGAAGTCAGTGTCGTTGACAGCATAGTCATACGCCAATTCCGCATCTTCAGTTGATACGTGCATAATATATAGTTCGTGTTCGTTGAAAATAAGGTTATATGTAGTTTACAACACGCTTTATCATACCTCCATGTCAGAATGATGAGATCTGATTGGCCCACTTGATCGTGATAAAATACTGTGTAACCTGACATGGAGGGTAATAAATTTCTCAGTGGTGGAATAAGTCTATTATACCCCGCCTCGAGCAAAACAGGATGTACGTGGATTTCGGAGAGGCGGAATAAATCCCTTATACCCCGCTTCAAAGCAAAAAGCCGCACACTTTTTCCGAGTGGATGGAAGTGACATAACACAAGTTAACCTCAGCACTATACAACACCCTACATCCCTGATGTCAGCATTATACAACACCCTACACCCCTCAAAATCAGCATTACACAACACCCTACATCCCGATATCAGCATTACACAACACCTTACATCCCGATATCAGCATTATACAACACCCTTACCCCCCTGATATCAGCATAACACAACACCCTACATCCCTGATATCAGCATTATACAACACCCTACATCCCTGATATCAGCATTATACAACACCCTACATCCCTGATATCAGCATTACACAACACCCTACACCCCGATATCAGCATTATACAACACCCTTACCCCCCTGATATCAGCATAACACAACACCCTAAATCCCTGATATCAGCATTATACAACACCCTACATCCCTGATATCAGCATTATACAACACCCTACATCCCTGATATCAGCATTATACAACACCCTACATCCCTGATATCAGCATTACACAACACCCTACACCCCTGATATCAGCATTATACAACACCCTACATCCCAGATAAAAGCATTACACAACAACCTACATCCCAGATAAAAGCATTATATAACACCCTGCATCCCCGATGCTGACTTTCTAGATACCAATGGGTTTATCACTCAGTACAGCCTTGGAGCAAGGCTAGGTTGAGGGTATCAGGGCTGAAGTAGCGACATGAGATAAGGTTTACTGGAAGTGCTGAGGTTTCCGTTCTTCCTCGCTATGTTTACTCACAGACGTACACAAGTCAACGTTATCACGAACTGACACTCTATCGCGCTGTATGTACATAAACACAGACCAGCTGGGTAGGGAAAGTTTCATTTCAATATCTCACACATAGGTAAAGTAGTCGAGGATATGCTGGTCTGGTGCGTGTGGGTTAGGAAATGTACAAGTCTACAAAGATATGTGAAGTTTCGACAGTTCATGGATGACATATTTATGCCACTGATATAGAATAAAAATTCAGTTAATGTCATCAATTTTCCGCCCCTGTTTGTGGATGTTGAATATAAGGGAATCCCTCACTGAACGATGCTAATATTCGCATGCTAGTCTTATAACACTCCACACTCCCCTTCAGTATCAACTCAAGGGGCTATTGACCCGTGAAGATGTGGATGAGAGTAGAAGATCCGGAGTAGAATAGGTCTTCAGCAACCCATGCTTGCTGTGAAAGGTAACTATGCTTGTCGTAAGAGCCAACTAACGGGACCGGGTGATCAAGACTTGGTTGATGCATGTCATCGTATCCCAATAGCGTAGATCGATGCTCATGATATCGGTCACTG